TAATATGAATTACTATGATAATGATATATTAATGCTTATGATTACTTAATATATAATTTTTATTTAAATCTCATTCTATAAGTACTTAATTTTCAACTGGTAATATAATTTGTTATTTAAAGTGTTTACGTTTTTTCAACCAACATATTTTTCTACCAACATTATGTTATAAGAGAGATATATATATATATATATGTATAAGATATATTTTTTATTTGTAATGCAATTGGATAAATAAAGTGTATTTTTTTTTAACAATTATTTTTGAAATAGCATGTGTATAATTTGTTATATTTAAAAATATTTCTGGATAAAGAAAAATGTTGAAAGTGCGGTTTTTTAGTAAGATATCATTTTAGACTCATGATTTTGAAAAAAAACACTGCAGGATAATTTATCTTTAATCTCAAGGTGCCAACGAATTATCTCTGAATTATTACATATCGATACTGAATTATAGTATTATAAAGTATTAAATGTCTTATGACGAAATCGAATTTTGATCACACACACACACACACACACACACACACACACACACACACACACACGCACACACACACACACACATACAATACTACTAATAAAACACAGAAAAAATTGATCATTTTTAAGAAATACATGTCTATAAATACCTCATCTAGATAAATATAAATAAAAAAAATTTTAGTAAAAATTAGAAATTAAATATTTTAATATCCGATTTTACAAAATTTTATGTATGTGTGATATATAGTATATGTATTGTACAATGTGTAATTCTTTTACGAAATGTATGATGTAAATTTAGCTATATACATCAGTGTTCTAAATTTGTATCAATCTAACCTAAACTCAAAGTAAAAAATAATAATAATAATTAATTTCACTGATGCCTTTTTTTAATCCTAAAATCTCAAAATTATTCTACAATTAAAACGTAAATATATACATATTTACAATGTTAGTGAATATTGGCTAAGGAATTACATAGGATATGGGTCTAGGATTAAATTGAAAAGAAAACTTGCAGTTCATTTTAAAAGATTTTATTACAGTACAAAGTGCATTGTCCTTAAAGTGTCAACAAGCACGAGATTACCACTTTTCGCTGGTCGCACCCCCCCAGCTCTGAGCAGCAGGTGTTGCCACAGGTGTTGACCATTCCTCTGGAGGCTGAACAGATAAACACGATTTATAATCGCACATCGATTTCAAATTGTACAATTGTATTTATATGTTGTGTAAAAATGTCAATAATAAACTACGTAATAAATACATATAATTACACGTCATTAAATTATAATTATAAAAGCAATTAAATTTAATACATCGGATATATCTGATTGTCTCACCTGAGCAGCCCAATCGCCAGTGGCTTGGAAGGTTTGCGTGGCACCAGCCGCAGGAATGGCAGCGGCCGCTGGCGGTGCCACATCGTCGGCCCAGTTTTCGGTGGGCACTGCGGGCGGCTCGACTTCGTTCACCCAGCCAGGCTCTGGAGCGGGAGCAGGTTCCACCGGACCCGTGAATTCCTTCGCCGGCGCAATCTCCTTCGCGGCCTGTTCTTCCTTCTCCGCCTGAAAGAAAAAAAAAGGCATCTGACATCCGATCGCAAGAGCGCTTGAGCGTGTCAAGCGCTTCAACTTTTCATCAGAAAAGATTAAGCCATAAAAACCAACAGAGATTGCTTCTGGATTCTAGTTGTTTCATCACTACAGGTCATTTGAGAAGAATAACAAAATGGAAGAACTTGTGAGGAAAGGAAAAAAAAAAGCACTGAGAAGATCGTACCTCTTCCGGATCTCTGTAGAAGAAGAGATCCACCACTACGTCCCACTTTGTTTCACGTGGGATGGATCCCCTGAGACGGAGGACCTCCCTGGCGAGCAGCCACCACATCAGACCGACGGTGTGCAGACTCTTGGTGTTACAGGGAATCGAGATATCCACAAAGCGCAACGGCGAGTCGGTGTTGCAAAAAGCGATGACTGGGATATTCACATAGCTGGCTTCGGTGATGGGCTGATGATCGGTGGACGGATCCGTGACAATCAGCAAACGCGGTTCACGGAAAGCAGCCTGCAAAAAGAAAGAATCAATGTAGTGCACTTAATCGATCATTTGTCGAGATATTTGATGGCGTTGAAAGAAAATCAGAAAAGATTAAGCCATAAAAATCAACAAGTGTCAATTCTGGAATAAAATGTTTCATCATCAATCTGTATGCAATGACAAAAGTTTGAAAGCTCATACATTTACTGTATTTTTTTACCTGGATCTGATTGGTGAATGCACCAGGAGTGAAACGTCCAGCAATGGGAGTGGCACCGGTATGAGCTGCAAACTTCAGTACAGCTCTTTGGCCAGAGTGGCGGCAACTGATAACGAAAACCTCACTGGGGTGCTCAATGGCGACGATGGCACGTGCCGCAAGCAGTAACTTTTCCCAAGTGTGTCGGAGATTGATGACATTCACACCTGCACCTATAAATTATAGATATATATAAAAATTTAAAACTACCTAAAAAAAAATTGTGTAATATGATCAGATATAAATATTGTTGCACCCGCGACAAGGGTATGCAGGGATATGTAATTTTATACGATCATATAAAATTCAGATCTTTTCATAACTAGTTGTATATATTTACATCTGACCAATTATATTATTTTTTCTCGGGTAGTATATAATTTTTAAATATATATTCAAAGCGCACAAATTATTTACCATCAACTCTTTTTTTATAGACATATTGTTCCATCTGGAAGTTGACATTCTCAGCACCCAGGTGAGTGCCAGCAGCCAACATCTTGGTAACATCGTCCTCTTTGAGGGCTAATACATCTAAACCTCCTGACATTTTAACGTTGTGGTTGAATTACGAGTCAACCTGAAATTGAGTTTTATTTACCACACTTATCAATAATATACATCACAAAAAGATTAAATTATATTTTCCATATATCTTTCAAACCATTCTTATAAGTAAAATAAATCTTTTGTCTATTTAATAATTCATTAAAAAATTGAGTTATATAGAATAAATTTATAAGATAAATAATAATTTACTACATAAAATTCACATAAATTAATATAAAAAATGAAATAATTATAAAGTCTCTATTGCAAGTGCCATCTAACCTCAAAATCGTACAACAATTTAGCACTTTTTCTTACATAAATATTTACATAAATATTGTTTAAAATTTATAGGCCTTCTTTTGTCTAAACTTATATGCCCAAAAATTTAACTATAACATTACAAACAATGTATTATGAAGCAATAAAGTATGCCACGTGCATCGAACGCACATTTTACAAATTAATTATAAATAATCATTACTAAAGAATAATTTATATAAAATAAGATTTTAGACACATTTTTGTTTAGCATATTCTTGTTTCATTTAATTCGCTGTACAAGAAACCATAAAAAATTATGCTAAAATATTACGAAACTTACGTTATAGGATGCCACTAGGAGACTCCGATTGGAAAGGAAGTGACGTCGTGAGCAGCAAAAGAGGGAATACCGCACGCACGCGCAAGCCACGTACACGTGAGCTCCGCGCTTCGGACATTAGAAGGGAGCAGACGTACTATTTCTGTCTCCTTTCTTACGCTCCATTTTAGCGGAAATTTTGATAAATTGTTAACAGGAACACATGATGACACAGGAGCTCACTTGGAATATCTAGTCGGTACACTTACCATCAATGCATTTGTAATGTTGCTCAAGCTGAACAAAAGATAGCACTGTTAAAGAAGTTTAAAAACGACATTTTTTTAAGTCGTTTTTAGAACGTCTTAAAGATGTTCTGTTTAAAGACGTTTTTAGGATATCCTAAAGATGTTTTTTTTAAACGTTTTTATGTCCTAAAGATGTAAAAGAAAAATTACTAAAGAAAGTTATTAAAAATATAGATTGTATTTAATTAAAAAAAAAAATAATTTTTTAAAAAGAAATTAATAAAAAAGTAACTGCATTGAATTGTAACTATACATCTAAGGCCGAATTCCCACTGAGCGCGTCACGCGTCGCGTTATCCGCTGCGTCACGAATTAACCAATCAAAACATTTTATTTTATTGCATTATTTGCCACACGAATAAAATGGGATGTTTTGATTGGTTAATTCGTGACGCGAAGGAAACGCCGACGCGTGACGCGACGGAAACGCCGACGCGTGACGCGCTCAGTGAGAATTCGGCCTAAGGGTATATCCAGACTAACTTGCATTTTCGATTATACAGGATTTGAATGACCCAGGGTTGATCAATCACTATTTTACTATAAATGCAAGTCTTTCATTGGTGGAGAGGTTGCAATGACGTCATTAACCACCCCTGGGTCGTTCAAATCCTGTATAATCGAAAACGCTATAACTTGCATAAGCATAAGTTTGTCTGAATATACCCTAAGATTGCGTGCGAATTTCAAGTGTGTTTACGTTCGTATTGTACGTGTATGACGTGTATTTATATATTTCAACGTGTACATTTGTTTATTATTAATGTAAAAATATAATTATAATTATAATACGGATCATTTATCGAAATACAGATTAAGTTTAACAAGACTCGTGATTATAAATATTGCAATATGTGATGAATCTCAATTTAACCTCAAAATGCTGAAAAGTGGGATACTAGAGTGAGAAAAAGTCATGTACATACTATCTTCTTTATAAAGATATAAATTATTTTACGCAGTTTATAAATAAGAAATGCAAGAAAATGTATCCTGCAAATCATAAGACTGTGTTCGTACTGGATCGCACTCCATATTTCGGCATCTCTACCGAATGTCCACTGGAGTTCGATTTTTTAAAGAGCAGGGGACAAAATCTTATTCCACTAGCTCCGGTGTGCAAGTCCTTGTGGACCACGAGCGTTGAAGCCTCATTGGAGTACTGTCGTATTGTATGGGATCTTTTTCCCACAGGCAAATTGGTACATAGTCAACGATCAATTTTATTATAGTATCATTCTCAATATTAATATGATTGTTATCATAAATTCTATTTTTCAGATTAGATTTGTTGTTACCGATCGTGCTGCTTATGTATTGAATTCATGGAGTCCATTGCAACAGAATTTAAATCATGTAAGTATCTTTAAGTGTTTATATTTATAATAAAAAGTGAATGAATAATGTGTATTCAATGATAAAAATATGAAAACCTTGCTTCACTCAGATTATGAATGGCACTGCTATTTTGGGAGTGCCAACGAAGGTACCGGAACCTGGGGAAGACTATTCGGTGATACACGGTTTGCGTGTGGCTATCGAAGCTCTGAATGACTGTTCCGACATACAGCATGAAAAAAGAACTTCTCTGAATGAAAACACTAATAAACTGGTGAATAGAGGCAGGGTAATATGTATTACAAGTGCACGTGACAACACCAATATGAAGAGCTTGGAGAATATATTTTTGAGTGAATTGGTACAAGAAAATAAGCATGCATTAGCCTCAGATAAGTAAGTACTTTCTGTAGCTTTTCTATTAAATTTGCGTTATGTATTATACATTGAATATGTATCATACATCAGATTCATATTTTTACTTATTTTAATTTGCAGCATGATACCCATTGACTATTGTCACTTGGTTATTCTGAATATATACCCCAACAATATCGAATCTCAAGTCACAAGTCAAGGCCCTAGAGTGGTATGATTTTAATGATTAATTACAATATTTCAATGTTTTTGTCTCTGTTATATACACATATGATGTTTCTCAATTTTTGGTGAAATATCTTTTTTATTGCAATTTTGAACAGTTTAAAATATTTTTTCTTCTAATTTAAGAATCCTACGAATGCTCAATTATTTGATATTCAGTATAAATTTTATAAATCATGTTTAAACTAATTATTGTTTATGCAGGTATCACCATTACTCACAGTGGAAGTACATTCAATCAAGGCTTCAGCGCTTCACTCGAAACTCTCACATTTGATTTTATCTCATTACGACCTCGCCAGTACGACAGTGACAGGTATACCTATGAAAGAAGAGCAGAATGCCAGTTCATCCGCCAATTACGATGTGGAAATATTTCACTCTTCGGCTGCTCACACTGCCATTCTGAAAGGTCTCTATCATTAGAATTTCTGCTTTGATAATCTTCAAAATTCAGTAACAATAATGGAGTTTTGATAACGTTGCAGGAAACCCGCAAGACTCGGCATTGATAAAAACCTTCAGGCGTTTTGAGGAAGGATCCGAATATGAGACGGTAACACTGAAGTGGTGCACGCCGCGCGGCTGCAGCGCATCGGAGATGCAGAACTGTACGGCAATGCATCGAATTACGCCGGTGGACGTTAATAGCAGACCTTCCTCGTGTTTGATTAATTTTCTATTAAACGGTAGATCTGTAATGTTAGAGATGGCTAGGAAAACCGGTGGAAAGACTATTTCTCACCTGTTGGCAGCTCATGGTGGCGAAATATTTATTCACACTTTATCCACCGCTCGAAGCGTTCTCGAGGATCCACCGTCTATTAGTGAAGGCTGCGGAGGACGAGTCACAGATTACAGAATAACCGTAAGATGTTTTTTTATCATTACTATTTTTTGCAACATATATTGTTTCATATTCTATATCTTGTTTTATTAATTCTATATTGAAGGTGGTTTTGTGAATGTTAATTAACTGTTCTTGGTTTTAAAAAACATTGAGAATATTTCTTTTTATTATATATAAAATTTGGTTTGCAATAGTAAGTATTAATATCACAATTTAATATTTTTTTATTTTTTTTTTTTATAGGACTTTGGCACTCTTATGCGAAATAACATCTTAGTACCGCTAAAGCGCACTTCTAATTCTAACAGTGACGGTCTAGTAGAGAAGATGAGATGTAGATTGGAACGGCACACGAAGTATTGGCCGATGACAATTTCCAGTACTCTCATGTTCAACATAAAACAGGTTTGTATTAAAAGAAATTGTAAATTATATTTTTGAGAATAATTTTTGTTATCTAATAATAAGAATTTAAATTATTAAACCGTGAAATATTGCAATCAAATCTTTAAATTTCGTAACTAAACTTCTATTTACTTTAATAAAGTGAAAATTATGATTTTAGAAATTTAAAATGTTGGAGAATTTCTTAAAGCATACTGAACATGAAACATTTCATTTTCCATGCATAGGTGATAGATCCTCTTCCAGAACTAATGGTGAAGGACGAGCTTTCTGCGGAGGAGGTACTGCAGTGCAAGCAGGTGATCTTCAGTTTGATCGGATTGGAAGCGAAGCACGAGGCTTTACCACTACCAAGCATCGGCGGAGGACGCGGCGGGAAAGGAGGAGTACGTAGAGAGGAACATTATCGTCTACTGTGGGACGAGATAGAAACATTCCTCAAGCATCATGCGAACAACTCGGCCGCGCATACCGAAGTGCTCAATTGTTTGTTGGAGATCAGGAACAAGAATGACAAGGACAAGGTGGAGCTCGATCAAGCTCTGCGAGAATTAGACAGGTAATTAAGTAATCGACGAATGGAACGTGATTTGCAAATTATTTGGGCTGTTTAGCTTATTATTCCTGTTCAAATTCTTCGTATTAAATAATTATTTTTTAAAAAAGAAACAAAAAATTGTATTTAAAAAGAATTATTCATTATGAGTCTATTTTATTTTATAAAATTTGGCGAAAATTTGTTTGAGTAAGCAAATCAATAGATAACAATTTATTTGTATTGATAATCAAATCAAAGAGAACAAAATTTAATTTTTTCAAGATGATAAAAATTGAAAAATTTAAGTATCTGGAAGTATAATCTAAAGATGTGAAGAAGTTTGATCGAAAAATGTAAATATCTAAAAATATTTTAGAAATATTATTTAGAAATTTGAAAAACCGAGATCCCGAAACTGAAAAGTATGAAGATTTGAAGATCAATTTCTTACAGTTTTGGTAAAGAGGACGGAGCTACCCGAGTCAGCGTAATCAGAGCGACAACGGATTCGCCGATGTCGCCACCGGGAAGCGTGTCGATATCGTTGAGCAAACAATTGCACAAGGGTAACGCTGGATCAAAGAGCCTCCTAGATATCTGGTTGCAGCGCAGTGCTCCGAAAGACAGAAAACCGGACTTTCACGGCAGGATCAACAGTGACGGTCCTAAAGCGAAGCTATATCCAAATATGAAGGACGTGGGAAGAGAACCCAGAGAGCCTATACTGGAAGGATAATGCGTAAAAGAAGGTTAAAGAAACGGAGCGGAGAAGCCATATGCGACATTGCGCGTTGTAAATATAATTGACATCGGATATATTAACAGACTTATCGGACGTTCGTGACTGCATTTATTTCATAAATTTGAATTACACAGAAGAGTGTTTTAACATAATTACGATCATATTAAGATATTAAAAATCGTTGAAAGCAAATACAATTCTGATTTGGTTTATTTTCTGAACTCTAAATAATTTCCACATCTTTCGAATGTTTTATAATTGAATAAAAATTGCAGAGGGAGAAAAGCACTTGTTAAAAAATGCTGTAGAAAACGATAGCGCGTGAATGCAGAAAAAAAACCCGAATCTAAATCTACATACGCAACAGAACAGGGAAAGGTTCAAGGATTCAACTGGAATGTGAGAAGATAGCTCCAGGCCAAGGACGAAGCTAGAATTTGCGGATACGATTATCCGAATAATTACCGTCCGCCAATTCCGTGTCGTGCGAAGACCCATCTGTGTTCGGGAGTATGTGTGAGACGAAAGTGTATCAGTGGTACAACACCATTCCCATCTCCCTTCTCCTCCATTCTGCCGTCAGCTTCTCCACCCCTCCCGCTGTTTTATAGTCGACACGTCTGCCGAGTGTCTGAGCCGTCTGAACAATACGTTGACCTCCGTCGAACCTATAGTTCACTTCGGCATGTGCCCCGCCGTACTAATCGATGGATGTGGAAGGATGCCAGAGTGAGAGGAGCAAGGAGAGGAAGAGCCCGGCATGTAACTCGGCATGACGCATACACGATCTCTCTCGGTTCGAGAGAGACGGACAATGGCAAGGAAAGAGACACACAGTCTGAGGAAAGCCCGTAGTATATATACCCAGGAATTTGGAAGTTCACAGATGTCAATGGTGAAAACATCTGGAGAGACTTAAGATTAAGGAACTTGGAGCGCACAGAACGCCACACGAATCCCAGTTGCTGAGATAAAGAAGTAAAAAATCTTAGATATCAAGAATTAAGATTCCGAAGAATTAAGAATTTTTACACGATGAAGAATTAAAGATTCGCAAGCTTTTGGCCCCGTGCATTCGAAGACGATGAAATCCTGGCTATTCCTCAGGACTGTTCCGTATTTAAAGATCCATCTGAATTTATGCACAAATCACTTTTCCAACAAGAAGCGTTAAGAAAGAATGCGATTGAAAGAAAATTACGCAACGATCAAATCAGTCTATTTTAAGCGAGGCTATTACTTATGCTACACCTTGTATAATGCAAGCCGCTAAAAGAGAGACAGACGAGAAGGTGGCTAGGGGGCGAGAGGATTACGACGAGGACGAGGTGGAGGAGGAGGAGGAGAACGAGGAAGAGGAAGAGGAAGAGGTGGAGGAGGGTTGCGGAAGGGGACCAGTGAGTACAAGTGCATGACGTAACGGTTCATTCATCCCGAGACAGGCGATAGAGGATACCCCGGTCAATGGTATACTTATGCATGTAAACGCGCGCATACGTGTGTACGTATGCCGTATGTAAGTATGAGTGTGCAACGTGCATACGTCTGTCGCGCTGCTCATTTTTTTTCGGACGTACGCGCCACGTGCATGCGTGTGTGCAGCGATAAAGCAGCATACGATAGCATGTGGCAGTATTTTGTTATTTTCTTTTCTCGAGAAGGTTGAATGAGAGTTGATAATCTTTTTTTGTTTCATTATTTATATTAGATATTGCAAGTTAAATAAGATCTTCATTCAAAAATACACTTAAAATAAATTAACAACTTTTGATAAGTAATAAAGCAGGCGAAGTTTAATATGTATAATACGTGATATTTGATATATATGAATATGTGATATTTGATACTTTTATTGATGAAGACCGACATCAATCAAATTTTCATTATGCATTTATTGTTTCCGGAAAAGCGGGATGTATGATCAATGCTGTAAAATTTATTTTGTTAAATAATAATTTAACCGAAGTGAAATTCATATTAGTTATATGCTTAATTTTATTATATAGACTTGTTATATATTTGCAAAACAAATTTTATTTGAGCAGAGATTTCAGGAGCATCAGTTTTTAGATTCTTCAAAAAATGTTCGGAAAAAATTGTACTTTAAAAGTCGCGCCAGCCTTAATTCGCGCTAGTTCCAAATCATATTTTTCTAAATCGAGTAGTCAACTCTTGACATTTGAATTCGTATCTTACTTCAGTTTGATTTCCATTTTAACGAGATATATTTAATACATTGTCGATTTTATCTGTTTCTTCCTCGAATTTGTGTAACGCGTTTTGTGTGGTAAGAATCTTAACTATTTTATTAATTAATCATTGCATTAAGCGACTAAAATTTATGTTGTTTGATTTTATTGGACAGGTTTTACTGGAAACGTCAATTTTTAACCTAAATCTATTCAAATCCATTTCCATCTAACAATAAGCATATCCACACATATTAATATAGCTACTAAATACGATCAATAATTGCCATGTGATATTAGTCGACGATAGCGTTAAATATAATGGGCGATGAACTCAATGCTGCTAAAATTGCGAACGGAATCAGGAATTCTAGCTCTGGCTCTTTGCTACGCCGGACCGAATCGAATCGATTGGCGAATCTAATTGGCATTATATTATCAGGTAATCGTTATTCAGAGAATTATATGAAATATATATGCGATAATCAATATCAATGAGGCGCGATAACACGCGCTCTGTCTAATTATTTAGCGCCGTCAATGCTTTATGCCATCAATATTAAATACGAAATATACCAGCAGCGCAATGCTGAATACGTAAATGGACATATTAATCGCTAATAGCGCGGCGCATAGCAGTGGCTGGTATCGCGTCATGGCGATACAGGAGTGCAGCGTTTATATAATTGAAACTCGCATATATATATAGCTGGTACATATCGATCGCGGCCTCGAGGGTCACTGAACGAAACGAAGCGGCACAGCGCGAGCATAGCAGCGTCCTTATGCGCCAATAAATAATTATAAACAGGAGTTTTAATGTGAAAACTCTGATAAGCGCTGAATCAATGCCAAATGAATGGGATTATATAAAAAGAAATTAACGGAACAAATATATTTCTGAGTTTAAATTTTATCTTGCTATTTCATAATTGTTTTTTTTTTAATTATATATTTTATGGACTGATTTATTTTTATGTGATAACGTTTTAATTAATTTGTCTTTTCTGGTGTGTGTAATCTTAAAAAAAATACTGCAAATTGTTAATCCGCTGTTAATTAAATGAGATTATATTGAACGAAAAATTAATTGGTTTCGAAAAGCGGTGCAACATTTGAAGCAATCGGAATAATGTTCAATTATATCCGAATTCGATATTAATTTATGTATTATTATTTATTCTCATGCTTTATTTGCGCTAATTAATACATTCCACAAAATATCGATTATTGCTTTTATCTCTAATTATCTTTGAATAAAAAAATCTGTTTTAACGTAAAATAGTGCATACGTAACACATTCCTCGAAATATTATCTTGACATACTTTTTCATGCATATAAAGTCTTATTTTTTAATATAAAATATTGTTGATAATTTAATATATTTTTTTTTAATATTATTTCTTCACTTTGCATAGACCTTTGCGTCTATTTCCATAAAAAATTCGTTTCTATTTCTTTAATATAAAGTTACTGTTATTATCAAGCAATTGATTTATTTTTCAAAATATTATTTATTATAGGTGTAGGATTATTCCGAATGCGAAGCTGTTCCTTGATTAATCTGTGACTTTAGCGAAGCGAAACCTTTACGCAATTCACCCGATACAAAGTTCCCGGCCAAGCCAGCTCGGGCTTAAATTTTTCAGAGTATTCCATAGAGTCTCATTGAGGACAGCGGCAGCGTGGAACTCGTTTTCCCTTCGTAGGGCTGCCGCCCTTCAAGGCTCACGGCCGACCGGCTCTTTGTCGACCCTTTGAACATCGTCCCTCCAGGATGTACGAAGCACTAAAGCGAAGCGCAGGGACGACGTATGAGATGGGGAATATATATCTACGGCTTTTCGAACAGCAGGAGCTACGTGACTTATGGAAGTAACAATACAAAAAGAACCCATGTGAAAGCGAGAATAAAGGTAGATGTAAGATAAAGGTTTATGAAAACTTTTATGTAAAAACATATATTTATAAAACGTATAAATCGCAAAAAAGTAATTTTTTTTTGTTAAAAAATGGAATTTTACATTTATTTAAAAAAATTCGCATTATAAATGTATTGAACAATTAATGGTAATTTTTTTACTAAAAAAAGTGAAATTTGATATTCAAAGAAGTGAGAATATTATAAAATCCGCAAAAAATTTCGCTTTCATAATACATAAAAAATGAAATTAATACGTTTATGGAAAGTACGTTTATAATATAATTTATCTTATCGAAATTTAGATGATATATTTTTCCTAAATCTATGAATATTTGTCTTTATAATTTAATATAACTTTGAAATTAATTTAACGTTTAAAAATCTATTAAACTCGACATTTGAAATTAAATAATTGCAGATTTTTCCTTCGTGACGCCTTCACGGCGTGGGACACCAATTTCTTTAACATTTAACGTCAAAGTATGACTTCACAAAAAAAAGAACCAAGTGTAATTGAGAAGTACGGCAGAAGTTTCTAAAGAGTCGAAAAACTGCAGGTTTTTCAACTCCCTTTTGTACAGTTGCCGGATTCGAACCCTAGAATACCACGAAGCGTCCGCCACTGTGCCGTAGGGCAGCTGCTCGTAGCAAGACCATTTTCAAAGGGCGACTTCTAATGAGCTCTCGCTACCCCGACGGAAGGGTCCGGAATACCGCTGGGAGATTATGTTCCATACTCCGTCCCTTCTCTCTGGTTCCCGGTTCTCTCCATCTACCCGTTTCCACTTTCAAGGATTTTCCGAGAGGCGTATCACCAGGTAAAAGAGTCGTTGCTCGGCACCGAAGCGTTGAGATTTTTGTCTCACGTTAAGTGCTTCGGGAGAGTTCATTCCGTGTTTTTTTTTTTTTATTTTATAACGCATTTCAAGACCTATCCAGATAGCCAAACGTTAGCAATGTCGGCAGATTGACAAATTTGATCGAGTTTGCTGTCAGTCTGTCAGCATTACTAACATTTTGCTTACTGGATACGTAGTGCGATTTTTGGATGAGTGAAGTATAACATCAATTTCATCCTTACAGAATTTAACAAAATTTTCGATACCAAAATATGTACAAATCTTATATATGGTTTAAAAATGTATTTATATTTGAGATAAAAAAAACAAATTCAAAGGATTCTTTTTTTTAAATTTCTACACAGAGAAAATTTTATATAAAAAATTACTATGTACGGTAGTAGCCGTGGACTATGAAGAAATTATAAAAATTTTCGATCCGCGGCTTCATGGTCCGCGGTTAATGCCGTACATAGTAATTTTTGATATAAAATTTTCTCCGTGTAGATATCAAAATCATAGATGTGTATTTTCAAACAAAATAAATATAATGAAAAAATATGAATAAATTCTGTCAGATTGAAATAGTCAGAAACACCGGCGTGTAAATCAACAGAAATGTTCAGTACTAGATATTTTTTTATCATAACGAACACCAGTTAAAAGAGCAATTGCATTTGAGGAATCGAAAGTTTCCGAATATTATTGAGAATTATTCTGCAGCTTGCCGAACTCGTTTTCTCGGTTGCAGGACACAAATAAACTATGGATCTAAGTGATTATTTAAAGATCGATCGATTCGTGCGAACTCCGTGGCCGTCGAAGGCTCCGTGCGAGATCCCGCACTTTCTCGAGACTCGGAAAACTTCCACGGCGAGAGAGATACAACCGGCACTCGTGTAAACACACGTGCATACTGGCACACGGCCGTATGGCAAACTCCATGATAACACCACCGCCGCGTGAGTCACGTGCTCACGTTGTCGTCGAGTGTTACGTCACCGCGTCTTCACCGACGCGGTCGTCCACACAATCGCACTTGTGACCTTGTGTTTTGTATATATCATCTCTCCTCGCTCTCCCTCTCGGGGGTCCCCCCCCTGTTCCTCATCCCGCGAGAATATCCCATGCCCTGTCCCCCCCTCGTCCCCCTGCGCCGCACCGGCGTCACGTGTGGCGCGGATAGGAGAAAGGGAGCGTGAGGGGGAGTAGGAGGAGATTGCCAAAGGGGGTCGGAGGAGGACGAAGGGTGGTTTAAACGGGTGAACACGTCGCAACTAAGGTCGCGGCGGATGTTACTGGGTCACTGGAGTGACCGCGATACATTGCACCCACTTCCTTCCCCCCCCCCCCCCCCGTCCCTTCGCAATCTCTCTATCTTCCTTTTGCCCTGGTTCTCCCGGTGCCCTTTCTTCGATGCTCCTCCGCCACCGTTTGAAAACCATGACTGAGGGCAGAGGAACGAGATCGGGCACTGATAAGCAGGCTTCTTCTTTCGACCTTTCGCGCACAACAGCGCGAATTGTCCGTCGCGAGATCGGTCAAAATTCTTAAAATTGTTGGCTATATGAACGATGCAGCGCGTCGTCGGAAACATTTTGTGCGGTCTAAGAGTCCGAGTATGGCACGTTTCCACTCGTTGCGTATCTAACTTTATTAAGTGAATTCAAAATGCATGGATTCGTCGCTGAAATGTTAAGCCGGATGTCGTTTGGCGTAACTTTGTGGTTTGCTTTTTCACTCATCCAAAAACCAATCAGTACCTTAAAAAAAACACAACTCTTGGAAAAATATTTGTACGAAGCCTGTGCATCTTTCGGAATTTTCTAAAGCGATCTCATCTTCGCGGATTTAAAATTCTCAAGTCTTCGAACACCTGAGTGTTCGCGAAATCTTTGAATCCTGAAAGTTTTCGATCGAAGCGGGTTCTGCAAATCGCCCGATGTTGCTGCGATTTCGGCGCAATTTTTTCTCCTCGATCGAGAAGCACCGTAGTCCGACGTGTTGAGCTCGAATCTCGCGGAGTTCTCTCGCTTCGTTCGCTCGCGTCTCGGCAAACCGGTTTCAGCGAGCGGCGAAAAACCGGACCTTACACATGTAAATCACATAGTTCTAAAACACGTAGATGAAATTAGCGATAGATCATAAACAACAGACGTAAATACTTTCCTTACACCTGGTCCCTGCGAACGAGATTTCAATTTTATGACCAAAAAAATATAAAAATCATTAAAATACAAAATAATCTATAAATATTTTAATTGTGGATATATTTTTCATTTAATTGAATGATTATTTTATATCTCGCTATAAATGTTAAATATAAAGTAAGAAAGAAGATTTAAAAATTCTCTGAGAGTTTAAATAAAATACAATAATCCAAGAGTGTCCAAGACTCTGTGGACGAATGACAATAATGAACAGGTGTTTCTCATTCAATAGCATGGTGCTGAAAGCAAAGTATATACAAATCATTAATCAAATCTTTGTATCAATGAGTCAGCAATAAAGCATAAGATCTTTAACACACAATGATCTTCGCAAGGACCCATTAAGATCCTAAAATGCTTAGCCTGTTGATCTAAACATGTATATTTAGAGCTTGTATCATAATGGATTACATTTGGTTTGAAATTTATGACTTTATGACTAATACTAATAATCTTCTATACAAACAACCGGAAAACAGTAGATATAAAGGAATATTCAAGGACAGTTAATACCCAAAGCAAGGCAGAACGCACTTCTAAAGATTAAATCCAAACGTTTTACTAAAGATCGACAAAAGAATAATAAAGTGATTAATGTTAAATCTTTATAAAAAGAAATGAGACTATAGAATTAAGGAATTTTTAATTTTAGCAGGGTTTTTATTCAATATCAGATTCGAATTTTATAATTTTCCTTTATGGATTTCGCAGAAAATGCATTTCTTGAAAAGTTAAATAACGAACAGTCGTTATTAAAAATTTTACCAAATGCGAATTCGTAACTATGCTAAAATTTATAAATGTTGCAATCAGACATTTCATTTTTCATACAATATTCCAATTTTTTACTTTACTTTTTTGCTTTTATCTTTTATATGTATAAAGTTTTATTTTTTAAATACCTTTTGCAGTATATAAAAATGAAAAAAATTGGATTTTTTCTCCACAAAATAGTGTTTCATGTTTATGCGATTATAGTCGAAAATATTTATGAATAACTGGTGATTAATATTTATAAAAAAAAATTTGGTTCTAACGCAAGGTAAATAAAAAATAGATGCAGAGTATAATTTGTGGTGATCCAGAGCGGACGTGGTTTTGCAGCCGCAGTTTTGACTTTACTCCGCTTCCGTCAGGATGAAAAACAACAACGATGACAAAGAGGCAAAGCGGCGTGACGTTGAGAGAAAGTTGAGAAGATGGGAAAAGCGAGACGTGTTTTACTTTCACTTCTCGCATATGTCCGCGATGCCAGCACATGTCATGTTGGTTCGAAGTAGAATAGACGGATCGTCATTTCGGAAATTTCCACATTGCAAGGTTTCCCATTTGCCACACTCTTGCATGTTTTTCACGCTTTATACAGTCGATACTTTTTTTTAATTGTCCTACAAAAATTATTCGAAGATGCTTTATTCCATTGAAATCTAAGAGCTTAATTTTTTATCAAACTGAAGTTATAAAAATTCAGTGGACAGAATATAATTTAGTGGCGAATTAAAATTAATATATTCCATTAATAGTAAAAATTTTAATTTTACCTTTTGTAGTATAATTAATCGTTATTGTGTTTCAAATAATTGATTTTTACAAAAAATCGAAATGCTTTAAACAGTTAAATGTTGCGAAATAAACCACTAAACAATAGAACGTAAGGAAAAAATAGAAAAATTGACGTAAAAGTTAGATTTGAAAAAACAAAAAATCTGAATTCTAAATTTATTTAAAGAGAATTCGTAAGAAAATTTAGATTTTCACGATTAGATAGTTTCAATAATCAATATTCTTCAAATGAACCGTAGATACGCAAAGTTGTAGATATGCATGCACATAAATATTTATGTGTTGCGTGTCGCAGGTGGACGTTATTTTATTGAGCTTGATCGACTGAAAGCATTACTTTTATTTCCTTCTAAAGTTTTTTTTACTTACAAGGTATTTGGTTTCTCCATGCATCACTGACATGCAGTTTTTTCATTAGGTATATAAATTATGGTAATGATTCGGTACTATAATAATTATAATTATATAATAATTATTATTTATCATTATTATTAATATTAATATTATCATATATTCGCTTTTGTTTTTTTTTTTGCTGCTCACGGAGTGGTTGCTCTCTTCGCCCTCTCTTCACTCACGTATATTTCTCCCTTTCTCTCCCTCCCCTTTTCTTTACAATAATGATCGTCTCTTCCTAAGGAATGATTCGGCAACTCCGCCGTATGTTGATTCACGTCGCGCGAAACTGATAAGACGTGATCGATTATCGAATAACTGAAAATGACGCATGTGAAAATAATACATAATCTTATATATAATCCAAATTTTTAAAGATTCAAACATTCCGATAATTATAAATTAAGTCATTGAATGTTTTCAACATATCTGAAAAAAATTAACGGAATTGCCAAGATCTATTGTTTCTAAATATCCAGAAAGAAGTTTTCTAGTTACACTCATGGAGTTTCACGCCGATATTACATGCGTATAGAATCCTCGAGGCGTCGCTTTGCATGCGATCTTGGAGTAAACAGGAGATAAAAGGCAACCTTTGTTTTTTATTGTTTGCATACTCAATTTTCGTGTACGATGCATACAAAGCTAAAGTTTATATATGTTCTACCAACGAAAATGATGATTGTGTTTACATATAAATACGCAACATCGTTCTACACTTTCTTCCGTGTTTTCGGAAGCAAGTATGAAGCGTGTATGACGTGTTGCGTGTGTATAAATAATTATCGTTCAAATTGCTGGAAATATCACGTACATAAACTGAGCGTGCAAATAATAAAAAGCAAGTTACTCTTCGATCGAAATTTTTCTACCTGTTAATTTAACAGAAAAAAAAATAAAGAAAGAAAATGTGCGTGAGTTTTATCACGATTGAAAATCGCGACGGATGGTTACGGCGGGCGGAGACAAATGGAATACGTCACGAGGGAGTCTCGTTAGGTATTTAAGACGTGGCGACGTCGCGAAGGGTGGATTAGAAAGTGGACGCTGTAAAATGTGTATCAAGGTAGTTTTGCATCATCTTCTTGTTTGTAGAACGGCAGTTGTGTTTGCGTTGAAGAGCGGCGATCGAGGAGCCGTGGAAGATGAAGCGTTCGAGTATATTTGGTTATTTAGCGATTCGAAGATTCAGCAATGTACAAATAACTCGACTTTATTGGCAATCGCAGTATCGAAAAGAAAAATCGAAACATCTCGAGATTCTGAGAACATTTTCATGTTCTGTTAATAATTTTAGACAATTGAAAATTCAAAAGTGCACGGCAAGTTTTTATTCTCTTCGGGTCTAAAAACTCTAATAATTCGAAGAAATCGCAGGATCTTAAGTATACCAAATTACTTCAGAAATTCGCGAGGTATTGATCAAAGAAATAAAAAAATAAAAAAACAATTTGTAAACCCGTCAAGCACTAGAAGTACAAAGACTCATTATTATGAAAGGGTTTGCGAAAGGTCCTTATAACAGCACTGAGTATATATACTTTCACGTTTCCTCGTGCCGCTCCAACATATTTTGTACAGGAGATCCATAATCAAAAGGTGGTGCAAAACTCTTGTTCGCACATGTGTGTGAACACGCGACATATTGTCCAAACAACAACAACAACGAGCAGTCAGCTGCATTACAACTGTGTCATCTGACGCCTGGCATCTAACGAAATGCAGGTTCGTCGGTCACTCAGTAAAAATCGTTAACGGAAATCGGGAGAGGAGCATAAAGAAACAAGACATAACTGTGGGCGAGATGTGGGAAGGATACGAAAAAGGAGAGAAACTAGGTGGGAGGGAAGAATTCGAGGATGCTAGAATCCAGCCGTGTCTTCAGAATCCCGCGAATTCTTCTCGCCCGCCTGCCGCATCAAGAAGCCGAGGATGAAGCGAGCGGCCGTGCTCCGTCCAAGCAATCGCGCAATAGAATAATCCATCCATCCATCCGCGTCCGTCCGTCCGTCCGTGCATCCATCTCTACTACCTATCCGTCCGTCCATCCGTCGTCCATCCGTCCGTCGGTCTGTCCATTCGACCGGTGATTCAGAATCGACGACGCGGTGCCGCGATAATCGACAGACTTCTGGCGGGCACGAAAGTGCTGACGCTGTTGCTCGTCGCGTGACCGAGCCGATCGGGTCACTTCTTGCTCTTCTTAGTGGGCGGCTCCTGCGCGTCCTGCGCGTCCTGCGAGTCCTCCTCGGTGTCCTCGCTGTCGGTAGGTCGTGGCGTCGCATTGTTGCTGCTATCGTTGGTAATGAGGGAATCATTCGTGTCTTCGCTAGCGCCTACTACGGCATGATCGCTAGCGGTGATCGGCGTCGCCGGCTTATCCAACGAATCCTCAGTGAAAGACGTCGTCGTGCTATTCTCGTCGATTGCCGCCGGATCGAGCGCCGCCGGCGTGTCTTTACCGTTTGCGACCGTTTCTTGATTGCTGTCGTCTGACGGCTCCGTTGCCTCGCCGTTGCTGGCGCCATGCGAATTACCATTCTCCGTCGAGCCCGGGATGCCGTCAAGCAACTCCGGCTTTAGCTCAGACGCCACGTAATGTGTCCACAGTGCTAGCTCAACTCTGTGTGGGCTCCATGTCTTGCCATTTGACGCTGAAACAAAAACAGAACATATAAAATTTTTTTAATCTTTGAAAGTATTTAAATATTTTTAAACAAGGAATTCCGAAGACGTGGAAATATAAAAAGTGAATATTAAATGTTAAATTCAAGGATGTAATTTATCTGAAATGTTAAGTTACGAAGATATGAAAATCTAAGGACTTTATAATAAAAAAATTATGAGAAATAATATGAGAATCCATTTAAATTCAAGGATTTTATGCAATACACGCGCGACTTATAATTAATCGATGTATATACATGTACGTCCTTAATGATTCATTAATCACTTACTTTGTTTATTCAGCCTCTCGACAGTGTGTTGAATGTGCTGGACGAAATTTAGGTATTCCTTAGTGGTATAATCGATACCCTCAATCTCAGGTATCGCCATCAAACACTCATCAGCCATGAAGGGAGCGTTCTCTGGCGACGCTGCAGCGAGCAAGGCAGAAGCCATTGTGGTACCGACGCCCTTCAGGTTCGACAGTGCCGTGATCGCTTGTTCGAGATTCGGAAGTTTCTTGAACGCTTTCTTCGTTTCTGCCATCACGGCGCGCGGTGTGTTCACCTTCACCAGGTAGGACAGCTGTGGATAGAACTTGCCACGCTGAAAACAAAATGGCGGTCAACCTCGTGAAGCGCTTGGATCTTCGATCATGTCTCGTCCAGGTAGAAAAATCATTTTATTTATATTTAATAAATTACATTAAAATATTATAAGTAAAAATCTATCAAGCCTGAAATCTTCAAGTTCTATATTCAAACAGCTACGAATTTAAAATGTAAAACGTTTTGGATGTAACATCTTCACTCGAAAATTTGCATAAAAATATTATTTTCCACTTAATTAAGAATTCTATTAACGCAACTTTTCATTTATAGGACTATGATTATGTACAGTTTATAAGCAATTTATAAAATTATTATTTGATACGATGTAATATTTAAGAACTTCATAGTTTCAGATTGAACAGGATCTGACACCAGGATGTATCCTACCAACAGAGAGAAGGCAACTCACTATTTGCTTCCACTTCATCGTTTGCACCAGCTCCTCGTGATTGAGATGCGCATCCTTGCCGCGCGACTTAATCTTCTTCGGAAGCTCATTCTGATACCTGCCGATACAAACAACAAAATCCGGGCGATCAAGATCGATTCAGCGTTCAGGAGCGCGCGCATGCACATATACAACTGCATGCCTACACGTGTGTACGCATGAGCGAACGAACGGGCGTGACGTAATCGTGCCGCCGCTGCGGAATACAGGAATTCGTTAAAGGCTCGATTAAAAATACAAACGCTGCCGCAAGAAGTCTGACACGCCCCTCGTCAATGATTGGAGGATACCCATCTTTATCGCGCACGTGGATCACACGTGGATACGTGCCGTGGCGTTATGTCTTCAATACCCGGTACCGGCTGCAAGATGCAAATACTCAAAACCATGTGGAGAATGAAGGACCGATGTCATAAAAAAGACTCAAGAAACTGAAAGTGTCAAGTGAAGGAAAGTATTGGAGCAATGTTGAGTGAGTTGAGGATTTAAATAGTCTCATAATTTGAAGAATCGATACGATTATAGAAGCAAAAATCAATATATCATACAATTGGGATAATACTTTTTTTTTTATGTTAGCAAATTGTTAGAAAAATCCAAATAATTTTAAAAAATGTTATAAAACAACAATTTTCATAACATATCAAGAAGTTTCCACATTTGCTGCAAAAAAAATTTATATAATTCAGTACATTTCCAGGATTTCACGAGAAAATCGTTGAATTTTAATTTAATCCAGAAAGTATATTTCAATTTATTCAACAAATAAAAAATAATTAGGATTATTTTTGATAGCTTATAGAAATGCGTGAATAATGAAATTTATTATCATAAAACATGACGGATTTTATCGAGGCTATTTATTCATTTGAGATATTATATGATATATTTAGAACACATAAGCGTATTAAACAAATAGAAGAATCAGAGCATTTGCGCTAAATTTGTACAGCTCTTTTCCAGGCGAAGAATCTATTTTTGAAAGCAATACATGTCCCATTTACCGCATTTGACGTATCTTTAAAATAAATTCTTTCGCTCGATTCTTTTTTTCTACGATCCGCAATTTCAATTTTAGACAAATTTCTATATCCGCATTATTCTTTAATGCGACTCTTTTCAACATCTCTCGTGAAGTCGAGTAGTTATGTTTCACAAAGTTGAAACGCGCGCTGCACCTCGTAATACCGCATATCCGCACACGGCTTGGCACCGTGGAAAAGCAGCCTTGACACAAACTGGCCTCAATGGGAATGAAAACAACGGTACTCTACTTCCCCCGACCCCTCGTCGCCCTCACCCTAGCTTCTGCAACACGGAAGAAACTGGCGCGTGAAGTCCTCCCTTTTCCCTTCTCTTTTACTCGTTCGTTCTGTCATTATCTTGTCTCTCTTTTTCTTTCTGTATCATTCTAGCGTGTATGTCGCTATCGATAAAGTGATTGATCGCACGTGCGGAAGCAAACAACACAAGTTTATCTCTCGCGCAAGATAGGGCGATGAACGAATTAATAAATTTATTCATTGTTTTGTTCTTCTCCGGAATTCTTTTAATAATTCAGTTATTTTTTTAAATTTGTAGAAACTATTTCTAGATTTTTTATTGAACGCGATTGTTAATATTCTACTATCGATTCTATTATTCATATTCATCGTTCTCAAGAAAAATTACTTTCAGGTCACGATAATTTTTAATTTCACAAAGAATATAATTTATTCATTTGGTAACAAATAACTTACTTATTATTTATAATATTGGAAGAATTTTTTGTGAGGTCAATTATTGATTATTTTAGTGATTATTTATAAATAAAAAAATTTTGGTTATTGTTTAACTTGGAATTGTTTATTCTTTTGTTTGTATCTCGAAAATAGTTTTATTAAATTTTTTTATGCAAAAATCTTAAGTGTTAGATTGGTTATCTAAATCTTTTAAAATGTTTAAATATTGAATATTGTATTGAATATTATTGAATATTAATATTGGTTTTATGAAAAATCTTAGATCCAAGGGTCCACAGTTCCAAATGTCCAGTGATCTAAGAATACTATTATTTGGAAAATATAAAAATTTCAAAATATTAGAGTTAACAATAAAATCATTTCATAAATTGTGACTTATAAACTTAGAGTTTATAAACTTATAGTTGCATAAAATTTATAACTGTAAGACTTTTAAGATCTACATTTTCACAAATTTTAATATTTTTTGCATTTCTTTCGTTAAAATAAACTTTTGTACAATATGTTATACTTGAGACTATATGTATAACAAAGATTAATGTTATAATCAATTTATAGCCAATTAAAAATTTTTAAATTAAACTTTTTTAATTGCTCAGATTTTTCTAATATAAAAATATTCTCAAAAAATTTCAAGCAGCTCATTCTTTCAACTTTTCTGTAAGTTTTTAAAAATGCAATTGCTTATATAAAAATAAGGAATCCTATTTACAAGTAACTTCACTATCAATTAATATATACAATCGTATTATAAATTCGAAGTTTACTTATTCTTATATTTTTCCTTTTAGTAAGACAGATTAAAAAAAAAGAATTCTGATTCTGAATCAATTGTTCTTTGCATTAATCTTATTATCTTTTTTCCAACTCCGATAAAATTCTATAAAAAAAAAAAAAATAAACCATTACGTTTGCATTTGTTACTCGCTCGCATTTTTCCGTTTGCTTATTCAGATCTCGTCGGAGTATCATTCTCTCGCGGAGCGATTCGCCACGTGACGGCGAGTTTCCACGATGATCCATCGGGGTATAAAGCCCACGATATCTCGGTGGAGTGCGACAAGGGTGACATACGGGTGCGTACACGCGACGTTGCCGCTCCCGCCTCGCTCGCTCGCGGAGAACAGCACGAAGCGGGTTCATTGTCCCGCGTGCGCCCCGTGGTAGAGCGCCGTTTCCTCCCTCGGGCCGCCGTAATGTCGGCCCCGTCAGCGGCGGCAGCGTTTCTCTCTCTCTATCGCGCTCGCCCGCTCGCCCGTTCGCTCTCTCACCGCGCGCGTACACACACACACACACACATACACACACGATAAAATGACAGCGTCGTTGTGCGCCGCCGTCAGAGTACATTTAATGAGACTTACCAGTTATCTAGTTTGATCAGCTCCTCGGGCTTTTTCGATTTATGATCGGCCTTGAGGCGCAACGCCTGCGGGTAAAGTTTGAGAACGTGGTCGAATTGAGTCGCGGTGCCCTCCGCGAAGAAAGTCGCTGTGTCTTTTACGGAAGCCATTGCGATAACGCGGGCTTCGATCGACGGCCGTCGGGGCGCAGCACCAGCGCCTCCTGCTGCCGCTGTTCCGTAAAGCGCCGCGTCCGTCGTCCCCCGTTGTCGCCGCTGCTGGCTGCTGCTGCTGTTACCACCGCCGCCGCCGCCGCTGCCACGGGCGGCGTTGCCGTGTCTCGTCTGCTCTCTGCCGTGGAATCCTACTTCACCCTCGCGAATTCCCTCACCTCAGTGCAGCGCGAGTAAGCGCGTCGCGTGGGAAATCGATGACGGTAGTGGGAGAATGCGTACCGAACGACGTTACGATTCTCTCTCGCGAACAGAGGGGCCCGAGAGAGAGGACGTTATTATATACGAGAAAACAGAAATAAGGAAAACAGCGCACTGTATATGTTACAGCTCGAGGATATTCCTTCCTTTTTCCCTACGCGCGCGGAAAGTACGAACAGGGAGACGAAACGTTACTGCTCGCGATTGAACGTTCTCGACACTGTACGACGTCTCGAGGGAAAATCACACTACCGTAGGAACTCTGTCGAACCTCGCTCGACACTGGCCCGGGTGGGGAGTCGCGACGCGACGTTGCCAACAGACGGCAGCACTGCTCGGGTTGCGCCTCTATCCCCTCCCTAGATTACGCGACTCGCTCCCACCAGAATATCACTGTCTCTCTTATACACCCGCCTCAAGTCCGTGTCACCTCCTACCTCTTTCGCTCGCCAACGGATATATCTGTCACGCTTTCTCCGTCGGTCGCTATACGTTTCTCTCGCTTCTCGACACTCCGTCGCTCCTTCCCCCTCTCCGTCTGGCGACTCTGGAGTCCGTATCTCTCCCACTCGATCGCCGCTTCTTCCGTCTCCCTTCTTCGCCCTGTTCGCGTCCTTTTCCTCGCCACCGCGGTGTCCTTCTCTATTGCTTCTGATTACGTCTATGTATCTTTTATGCGTCTACCTCTCTTTTTTTTTTTCTCCCTCACTCACTCTTTCTCCCTTTCTCGCTGTTTCCGTCCCACTCGTGCCTGCAAACCGCGAAATTCGGTCGAATACGCGCGGCGACGTGCCTTCGACACCTTGTGCAGTGCGTCGGAGGGGAGCGTGAGGAGATTCCACGGAGAGGCTCCTTTCTCCACGAGTGCTGCAGCGCGCGCTTCTTCTCTCTTTCTCACGTACGGGAATGCACTCGCTCACTGTCTCTTCGCACGACAATAAGCGTACCAATGTGACTCTGACCGTCGGATTGTCGCGTGCGAATCATCCGTCCGTAGATGTCTGCGGGATGTACAGCGTGATTTCTCGCGCTTACCGGCGCTAACACGAAGGGAGTACACGACAAATACGCACGCGACAAACGCACGGAAAATAACAATGACGTTGAATACGCACGTTTCTCGTACAGCGTTGTGTTCGACCGAAATCGTATTATAAGCTTCGCTCGCTCGATTTACTCACGTCGCCTGGCAGGCGTGTTTCCACGTAAGCGACTGAGGTTACGTCGCGCGACGACCGTCTCATCGACGACGGAGCCAGGGAGCACGGCGATTGGTCGAGCGCACGGCTTCTCTTTCTCGAACTATATTTCTCTCTCTCTCACACACTCCCTCCCCGCCTATCTCTTTCGTTGTCTCGCTCGCTCCGCGTTCGTTCGCTGCTCCGCGTTCACCGCTCGATGTCGATATTTCTTTTTCTTCACGGGAATATCATGACGAGTCTACGACCGCGACGATCATCGATACATTCGCAAATACACCGCTACTGCCTCGACGCTCGCGAAAGGCCACACAGCTACGTGATAACGTGTATTCGCCTGTATGCCCGCTCGTATACGTGTTTGTAATTCGTATACGCGAGCGCGCGCACGTCAACAGAACGAGCGCACCCCTGCTCGTATCTCGGGAAACGGGAACGCGGAGGAAACGCATGCAGCCAGCCAATCGTTCGCTCCTCGAGCGTGCACGTGTGTGTAATCGTAGTAGTGTAGCCAACCGAGTGAGGGCAGCGCCTTCGCTCGCCGCCGTCGCGGTTGGCACCCCGCCAGCCTTCTCCGTCGCCCGGTGACCCGCTCCCCGACGAAGAAGCGAGAGAACGAACATTCCCCTCTTTCGCCGCTCACTTGTCCGGACACCACATCTACCGTCAGCTGCGCATTGCGTCCCCCTCTTCGGCGCCGTACTGGAGGATCAGTGAAGTTGCGGCGCTCAGGGATGGATAAAATAACTCGTACTTGTTCCGCTGCTGTTTAGGGATCTGAAAGTACAAACTTTGAAAAAGTACGAATGACGATATCCCCTTACGATGTATATTAATTAACGTACACTAATTAATTTAACATTATGATGTAATCATCTTGTTATTGCATATTTTATAAACTTTGAAGTTGTTGCATTGTTGTGTAAAATTGTAAACAAGTCGAGCTCCTGCTCGGGACGGTAAATTGAGAGGGAAAACGCCTAGGGTTTATTTTTGAAGTTTAGATACACACAGTTTTCAGGTATATATAAATGCGTAAATATAAATTTTCAGATTTTCCTCGCTGCTATTATCTTTGCCCTTTTTTATATCCGCAAATAATAATAATGATGATAATAATGATATTAATAATGATCAATATAAAAGATTGGAGACTCGAGAAACTCATACAATTATGATAACAATAGATTTAAAGCGAATGTTGTACAGTAAATCTCTCTCCAGGGACGCATACTTTGTAACGGATGTCCCGCAATGAAATACCCGACTGTTCCTGGCAGCCACATCAGACTTGATTCTCAGAGGGTGAATTTTGTGCAGCTGCGTTTGAACGATACGTCAGTCTGTGTATTCGCTGAGTTGCGTCCGCTTATGTGATAAAGACGGAGAGTACCTGTAGATTGTGTTCTTTTGAGCCAACCAGTAGAGCATGCCGAGCAGCAATTTATCAAAACAGAAGCATATCGCGTTGTTTGAGTTCCAAAGTCACATGGTCGCACGTTAACTTTGAAAATAATTATTCCTTTTTCACGTAAGAATTGCAATTTCCTGCAAAATGTTAAAGATACTCAACTTTAAAAGGTCAGAGATGCAATAAATGCAATTTTTAATCAGAAAAATGAAAAATAAAGTTTAATAGAAAATAATTTTTTGTGCTAAATTAAAAGATTATAATAAATTTCAGTTTTGAGAAACCACAGAAGGTAAAAGTCATGTTGTAAAATTTATTTATTTTGCATTAAAATATTATATGCGAGAAAAATGTTTGCCTAAAAAAATTGAAAAACTCGAACTCTTGAAAATATTTCAAATTCTTCAAAATTTGATCATACGTTATGAATCATCCTTTCTCCAAAATTAAGTACGGGCTTCGTTGGTTCACCATGTGTTCAGCGGGTCCACTTCGAGTGATACGGGTGAAGTTACGGTAGGAAAAAGGGCGACAAAGGTAAAGGGAGCGTCGCTTTTCTCAGGAGTGTCTTTCTGCGCTCCGACGCCCAGTTGCTCTTTTTTTTTTCTAAACAACTTCAATGCTGTGCGTTTCTAAATTTCAACGGTTTGAATTGTCGGAGTTCGTAGATTCGATCGCCCTTAAAATACCTTTTCCTTTCTGTCCGCCAGACGGAGCTCCGTCAAGCGGAGTGGAACGGAGTGGAGCGCAGAGAAGCGATTGTATGGAGTATAGAGGCACAGGCACGCAGGCCAGACAGATAGGCAGGCAAGCTGGCATGCTGGCAGGCAAACAGGCTGAGTATAAGCCCCAGCAACATAGCCGTCGACTCACCGTTATATGCCTCGTGCCCCCTATACAAAAGAGAAAGGGCCGCCGGAGCCGCGCCGGTCGGTCCGCCCCCTCTGTCCCTCGGGCGCTTGAAATTCAATTCCGGCACTGCCGGTTGGCACGGTTGCCAGATCGTCCCTCGTTCGTTCGTCCGCTCGCCTCGCTCGTTCTCTCTTGCTCTCGCCACCGTTCGTTATCGAACGTTCGATTTACACCGCGCGCGCAGCGCGGGAAGATTTTCGTCGAGACGATACCACCGCGTAGCGGAGACTTTGCAGGGAAAATTCTGAAACAAAATCATGGAAAAATATAAATAATCAATGTATATCCGATGCATAACATTAATACAGTACAATAAAATACAATATTAAATAACAAGGTATGATAAAGAAAAGAAAAAGATGTGGAAATAACGTGATGTATTGCTAGTCGTTAAATCGGTATTCCACTGATTCTCTTATCTCTTTTTGTATCATAAAATTCTAGGAATAAAACGGTTTCCTCGCCGCATGGTTATTTCACCGCAGTGACAAAAAAGCCACCGAGTCGATAAAGCATACTGATGTATATGCATCAAGAGTCGTTATCGTTCTGCGTTCAACGAATACAGTTGATCGGCTTTTGGGAAACAGATCTGGGTGGATTTAAAAATACACATCAATCACAGAAAACAATAATCCTACAATTGTTTTCTACATACTCCTGACAAAGAATTTTTTTTCACCTGCAAAGGACACGCCTAGAGAAAGTATAAGGGTCAATGTCAATATCAATTTTTGCTTTAGGGTATACAAGTCAAAAGTTTTGTCTGCACGTAGGTGTATATCTTTCTCACAAGTAAAAAAAATTCTTTTTCCATGTCTTATCATGTATAAATATAAATAATAATAATTGAGATATACTGTAAAAGCGTTGACGATAACGATATTGAAAAATCCTGAAATTCAACATAAACGTGATATCGAAGAAATATGCAGGAAGTGGGAAATAATATTGCGAGCAGATAATCTTCTACAAGTAGCAAGTCACGAAACATCGTATGAAATAATTATAAAGCAGTTGAAACGAAATCAGGGAAAAATGAATTATTACGAACTTAGAAGCGTGATTCTTTTTGTTTTTACCGTCACGTATAAATAATCAACGATTATACCGTGAAAAAAATTAAATCAAAGCAATATATAAAGAATAAAACTCGTAAATATAAATGAATTGAGAAAAAAATCTTTAGATATACTTGTTACAAATTTGTATTTTATCACAACAGTAGACATTATGTTTGAATCTACTTCCTATCTATTCCTGCTTATTCTTATCTTTCTATTCTTATCTACTTATTTTAACTTTCATGGGAAAAAATGTAAATTAAAAAACCATTAAAATCGCAATTAGGTCGCATAATTAAAATATATAAATAAAGTTCTTTTTCTCTTTTACACCGGCAGCAATTGAGCTACGTCAATAAAAAGGCATGAAAGGAAATGAAAAAGCTTTCAAATTCATCTTTATATAGCTTCAAAGATTATTGATTAAATTTCACGAAATAAATTTCTATCCATCCTATTTCATTCACTCATTTTATAGAGAAGGCGAGACTAGAACCATTAGGACAGAGTCTGTTCAAGGAAATGTATATGTCATAACGAGACGGGAAACGGAAAATTCTGTCGCGCTGTCGAGAGGTCGCGTCGTCATCCACGTGCCTCCCAACGTCCGTGCCTCCCTATGAGAAGAATTAACATCCACACACCTCGAGGGGTATCGCGTAACTGCCACACGATTCGTGTGCCAACATCGCGCCGAACGTGATGCTACGCGGGGAACACGTGGGTAACCTTTCCATCTTTCTCTTTCTCGTCTATCTTTATCTCTTTCTCTCCTACGCTATAATACCTCGTGACAATGTCGTATAGCTCTGACATGCGGACACGGTCGAAGAGAGGCAGTGAGCGAGTGAGCGAGCGAGCGAGCGAGCTAGCGTGCGAGGGACGAAGCGCTTTATCGCAAGCCAATCCGAGCGCTGTGACCTTGAGCCGCTTCAGAGAGAAATATATATTTAGCTGTGAGCGGAGCGTGTTCGAGCTTCCAACCTAGCGTTCCCTCGTTCGCTCGCTGGCTCGCTCGTCGGGCCTTCTCCGACTCCGAGTCGCCGATCGATATTTATTTATTTACCTCGGAAAGCGCGGAAACACTCGTCAGATTAAAGTCGACCTATGGATATTCATGCACTTAAAGAATATTTAAGCAAAATCAAGTATTTTGCACTTTAATATCATCTAGCAACATTATCGAACTGCAGAACAACTCTTCCACAAAATAGCTGAAAAAAATAAACGTAAAAATTCGTTTTATACATTAAAAGCTTTCTAATATTATGTTAATAAAATGTCATATGAGTATAGAATAGATTAATGGAAAAAAAATTAAACTAACATACGTGGATAACATGTAAATTAGTCAAATCAATACATTTACTATATTTCTTCACAATTATTGAATATTTTTTACATTCAATAATTGAAAAAAAAATTATTATTTTAAGTATAAAATTATTCATATGTTTAAATCTACATATATATATATAATTCTGTTGCACTGCGATCAGCGCAGCTGCAAACCATCGTTTTGCAATAATCTAGGATAGAGATAAATACCTAGAAAGATATGAGTTGCATGCTGGATATCTCAGCGAGTATTCGCACACGACTATACGGCGGTGGCGATGACGAGTTGGAGAGCGAAGCAGTTCGCCTTGGTCGCTGTGAAACAGCTCGATGCGAGCGAGCGAGCGAATGACGGAATACAGGCGATTTCTGCGCTTGAAAACGTGCTTCGAGGCAACTGGATATCTACAAATAATATAATATTGTTTTTATTACCATTATATTACTCTTATACTCATTTTAGTACTATTGAAAATTACACGATTAATAAATGTAATAAAGTAAAATTATATTATTTTTATTATTATATAATATATTATTATTAATATATAGATGTATAAATATTATGCCACTATGTCTTTTATCTACAATTATATGCTTAGGGAAAAATTCTTTCGAACCATAAAGCCATTTAATGTTTGTTTTAATCACAAAAGATAAGATAAGTTGAAGGTTTTGTTTATGAATTAACTTTAAGGACGCATTTATTAAGACTAATTGAGCAATGATGTTATTAATAGATGATACTTTTCAATTAATATAAGCTAAAATTTATTTTTACAGAAATTTAGTTTAAGATAAAGTTTCTATTTCTTGTGCAAAGGAAATAAGCAATTAATAATATTACAAATGGTCAATTAATAATTTGCCGCCTATCCTCAATGTGGCAATGCTGAGTTTCAAAATCGAATTATAAATTTGGAACTGTAACTATTAATTATAGATATAACTCATTCATTTGTAGACTTTTCAATGTCATCAAATTGACAACTGTATCTCTTACAATCGGATTTCATAGAATCTAATTTTTCCATAATAAGTAAAACGCGCAATTTAATGCAAGACTCGGCGAAGAAGAAGGATTCTATTAATACGATGAAATATTGTACTATTGTGATATTATTATTATTCTAAAACGTATTCCTACATCGCGTTCTTATTCTGAAAACCATGTAGATATGCAAGAGGCAATCGACCGGTGTTCGAATATATCTTTTCCGCGATTTAAGGCCTTCCGTGATAAGATTGTCATTCATGCATCGTGAATCAGGGACTTTATTTTTAGACCGGCGTCTGAATGAAAGTGGAGTAACCCGTCGTAGTACAACAAGAATAGAAGGAGAATAAGAGAGGAGGAGAGAGCGAGGGGGGAACGAAGCGGTCGCAGGGGGGCAGTAGGGGGAGGGGGCAGGGGTGGCAGACGCTTCTGGGATCCGCGAGTAAATCGTAGTAGATCCTCTGCACACGTGACTCCCATCCCCCTCGCCTCCCCCTTCTGCCGACGCTCGTCTTCGTTCGTCGAACGTGGACACGCGAGACACGCAGCAGCCAGATGTACGCACGTGCGCACTCGGACACGTTCGGTTTACCTACGAAACGACGGCGGTGGAGAGTTCACAGGCGATACATGAAATGATCGACAAGAGTGACGTGTGTGACGACGGCGCGCCGCCGCCGCCGCCGAGTGACGCGTGGGAGCCGAAAGCGTAGATATATGCATGCGTTTGTGTACACAGATATATCTGCAATGTCACGTCACGTAATGTTAAATGGATAGATATTACATAACGCGATGTAATACAACATATACAGTGTCCTATAAAAGGTATATGAAAGATAGCATCGTGCACAACGAAGGAGTAGTACACGGAACATCCCGGCATCAACGGCTTGTGTCCCTTCGATTACTTCCTCGAGACTGTTTGAAGGTGAATTTAGAAAAGTGCTCATTATGTGTGTGTGTGTTCGAGAAGATCTTCCATACGACGGGCTCTTTAGTGTTTCCTCAATTTTGATGCATGATAAATCTTCCTTTCCTGCAAATTTAAATTGGAATAAGATTAATCTTGATTAATTTGTCTCAATCAACGTTCTGCAGTTTAAAAAACTGCAGAAATTGTCAGCATATTTAACGCGTTGTCAGTGATCTTTTTATATCAAGAAATTATTATATATTTTACAAAGTTCCAACGTTAAGTGTTTTTTTAACAAAATGTGGTTTTATATATTTCTGTACCTTCGAAATGCAGTCGTAATCCTGGAAAGTGGCTTGAACCGAAACTAACTCTGACGGATCCCTTAATATGAATAATGTAGAAAAGAAGTACGTGCGATGGTACGGACCGCAATAATACAAAACCACATGTTCTACGCTCATCTGCTTGCTGCCTACGGAAAACCACGTGTTCTGCGCTTCTCTGCTTCCTGCTTGCAAAGAAACTTTATGTTACATTTTTGCCGTGTTAGCGTTGATATATGAGAGTTCTTTAACGTTTAACATAAACATACGTGACTTTGATAAAAAAAAGATATGTAGAATAATTATTCTCTTCAAAAGCTTATCTTTTCTCTTTAAATTGTTCTTCTATATGACTTATAAATTCAAAGATAAATGAGCGCGAGAGTAAAATTTATATATATGACACATAGTACCATATTTTATACAGATAAAAAGTTAAATTAATATTGGCAATGTATGCCAAAAACAGAGAAAGAAAAGTAGAAAAAGCAGAAAAAAAAGAGAAGTAGCTAATACAATTATTTTTTAAATAAAGAGGCATTAATATATCATGTCTGAAATAAATAAATAAATTAGTATCGTAATTATTCACAATGTTTACCATATTATAATTGTATAGTATTATCAATAGTAGTAGTAATTTTAAAATAGCAATAACTATATATAATAACTATAACAATGTAATATAGTAACATAACAACGGTGTATTATACATATAAAGTATCAACGAAATGCCCGCAAAATTATCATGATTGCAATCACTGCAAATCGCCGTGATGTTTTTTTTCGAAAAACAAATTATTCTCGGTTAAGATCTCCGCGGCGTGTCATGAGCGATTTTTCAGTCACCCTGTAGCGACAAAAGACATACATCCGTACAGTGTAGCGGCGGCATACACATGCGTCGCGCGAACGCGCGATTCAATAAGTGGCAGGCCGAGATCATTGACACGCAGCGTGGTGTGCCGCGTGGCTGCGAAGGTTGTACTACGATGTTTACGGTTTAATTCGAGATATACTCGAAATGTCACGTGTGCACGCGGTCGCGTACACGCCGCCGGGAAATGCCGGAAAGGTGGTGGAGCGGAGTAGGGGGAGGAAAGCAGAGGAGGTACGCGGAGGGTGCGAAGATCGACGTGCCGTCGCACGCGGAGAGTGAGTCACCGCTGTTACGTGCCCCGACACTCTCCCGTCCCTCCCGCCTCCTGCCACTGCTGTTCCTCCTCGCCGACGACAACTCGGGGTCTATCGTTCGTGGTTCTATCAACTGGGTCAGTACTGCTCGCCCACTCGTTCCCCTTGTTTTCAAGCGATACGAAAGATCGCTGTTGTTGCGATGTTCAGAAGCACGGCAGAGTAAGCAAATTGATGAGGCGCGGATCTTCGCTACTATTTTAGATTCTAGTGATTTAATCCAGGCTGGAAGACTGAATCTTGGAATTGAAGAACGCAGTTGGATATTTTAGACGCTTGAATTTTCCATAAGATCCTGAAAAGATTTCGCTGTAGCAAAGCCTGGATAGAAGATAAAATCAAGTGATAAATGCAGAGAGAATCTAACGATAATTTGCAATATGAGAAAAAAATTAATAAATTTGAACAGTCAACTATGATGGAGATGCGTTCAACAGATGTGTCAGATAATTATTAAAGAGTTAATAAAAACCATTTATAATCATTGCATAATTGTCAGTCGCATAAAAGTTTCCATCATCTATTATCCATCAAACACTTGAATCTATTAGACACTGAATTCACAAGATTGCAAAAAACCCTTGAATTTTTTTTGGATTATCACAGAATTTTTCTAATATATGAATATTTTGCGTTACTATTTTTATTGCTAAAATTTCTCTCGGGGCTAAAGCTGTCGGACTTTTATATATCTCTATAGTATTTATCTCTTGACATTCGGGAATTCCGAGAGAGAATAAAAAGATTGCCAGGGGAGGTTTAAATGATGCGAATGCGACGCGCTCTCACGCAACGAGTGTGCGTATTGTATAGCGAGAGTTTGCCTCGTCATGATGTGTCGCAAGTCACGCAACTTGGTTTTATGTTATAACCCAAAGTTTTGAGAGTTCTTATACAGCAACATACGTCTGTTAACGCAATCCAGTAATTTGGCAGAAGCATTTAAAAATTTTAAATTAATCCGAAAATAAATTTTACTGTAATCGATTTGATCAAAATAATTTTATTTCAACTGATATCTCTGACTCTTTGTTCCTTTATTCTTCTTTAAACATTCTTGTTTAAAAGAAATAATTTTGTCACGAATTATAAATAAATCAAGTTTAAAATTAAAGCTTAAGAGACTTGACGCTAGTAGTTTTTTTCTTTTTAATAAAGATGCTAAGAATGAGTATATCGAGTGAATCAATCTTTTTAAGAAAGCCGTATAAGAACAAAAATTGAATATTGAATACTTAAGATTACTTCGTTTTCGAATTACTAGAATTATAATCAGTATATTTGAAAGTGACGTGAGAATACTTTATTTGTATTTTGCATCAACCTGGAACGCCCAGAATCAGAGGAAAAACAGTATTAGCTGGCACGTTACCAGAATGGCCCGCGAGAGGTCGGTCTTTCGCTGCGCCTCGCAAGCCGTCCTACGTGCTGTACGAGAACGCGGCCAGGTCGCGCCGCCGCCGCCACCATCGCCGTCGCTGCTGGATTTGATGACGTAAGAGAATAAAAACAGCACAAAGGCTTGCTGGTTCATTAGCGCAAACTGTATGGCATCCCCCAGCCGATCGCGCGTGCGGCGCAATCTTTGTCCTTTGACTCCGGCACATGTTTGTAGATCGTCACCGTCAGCGTCGATTCGTCGAATCGCCGTCGTCGCGACCGCTGAATTATTCACAGCTCCATTCCGTCGCGCGTCGCAACATTCTTGAAGAATAAACTCTTCGAATTTCACGGTCGCATTGAGTCTTTGGATTCTCGAGACCTAGAATCATTGATAAGCGATGAGGATGTTGAAGTATTGTAAATGAAATAAAATTAAGTTAATTTAAGAATTTTCCTATATCTAAAAAAAATGTTTTCGTATAGTTTCATGTTAATATATTACTAGAAAAAAGTACATTAAAACATAAATTATTAAAAAATTCTCTTTATCTGTATTTTAAATTAATTAATTTAACATTATTTTATTTTATTAATTAGCCAATTCAATTTTGAGTTTTGTATTTTAATTTTATATGATTTAAGTTAATTTAATTTAATATTGAACTTTATTTAATTTAATTTTATTATAAATTAACTAACTCAGTTTTATTTTAATTAAAACAGTTAATTCATTTACAGTTAAAAAACTTATACCTTTAATTTAAATAATATTTAATAAGATATTTGCATCAAGTTTTCACAACGTGATGCGAGATTATATTGCAGTTGCACCTGGCCTTTACCTGTGCAGGTGCTTAGGAAAGCTTCATGGAGGACTTCTTCTCCCTGTGTTTTATGGACTTTTTATTACAAAATAACTTTAAACCGCTTGCACCTGGTAATGCACCTTCCATTTAAAAAGATGTTTGATTTTTTTTCAACTTGTCCCTTTGATTAAAAATAGATTTAGTTCGCTGGTTTGCTTGCTTGTCTGCAATTTATAAATTATAAAATTTTAAACCATAAAACATGTTCAAAAATGTATACATTACGTACAAATTAAAAACTTATATATACATTGAGAATATTCTTATTACATTTTCTTATAGAGTTGTGAAAGTAATCCTCAACATTCTCCACTGGCGATTTTCATTACCGAGAATCACTTTCGAGAGTGATACTTTCAAGCATACGTATACTCTCACGTTAGAATCCTTTCGAATAAGCAGTCTCTTATGTCTTTGTGTTGAGAACATTTTATATTAGAATCCAGAAAGAGAGATCAAGTAATCTACATGGTCAGAAATTCAGAAATTCCAATAATGGAATTTTTGTTGTTGAATTCCTCGTAAATTAACGTAAAAATTCATATAATTGTTTATTCTTCGAAAAATTCGAAGACTGAGGTTCGAAATTTTAGATATCCAACGTTCTATCGACGATGAAAAAGCGGAATACTTCAAATCCGAAGAGTTTATGTTCTCAGGAGTGCCTTGCGAACGTGCTCAGTATCCAAGGACTCAAACATCCGTGACCGAAACGGCTCACGAGTTTGCGCGAAGAACGCGAGACGAATGCCTACGTAAGCGAATGGACAGGCTTGCTTGCTTGCTTGCTTGCATTTCTGTCCCCTTCTCTATCGCCCTGACGGAGGGCGGAGGAGACTGTGAGAGCAGAAGAGATGGGGGCAAAGGGGGTGAAAAACACCTGTTACGGACTACCGTAAACACGAGGTGTTCTGTTTATTTTCGTACTACGATGCCTGTTTCGTACTGCATTAGAATCACGGCCCGTTCATTGTCACATCACACGAACTGTCTCACTCTGCTTTATCGAGTGTTGCACAAGCACGATATGGCGAACAAGATGGCACCACTTCTCGACCTCGCAATGACGTACACTTTACCAATGAATCAAGTTACAAAAATAATTTTTTTTTTTAAGTAATATTAAGTATGTTGATGTCTTCAATTGATTTTTCAATGTAATCAATCATGACAAGAATAAAGTTTAAATATAATATAAATTTGAACTGAAAAAAATACTTTTCAATTTTAGCCAGTTATGTAATTACGATTTTCTTCCATTATCTATAGCTTTTTATCGAAGAAATGCGATGATGAATAGTTGTTCGATTTTTATACTTTTTGCATCTCAATCAAGGAGACTATCTTAGGTAATATCGCTATGTTGTATGACTTCGATCATCTTCAGCTGCATTGAATCATATATTTGATCACAAATCAATTACGAATTTTACCTTTAATGTATATATCATACACGTATACATCCGTGCGCACGTACCATAACCCGGATAGCACAAAATATCCTGGGGACATCCCGGATATCCTCAGGTGCTATCCTTTTGCGCTATGTGGAACATACAATTTAATTGAAACCAACAAAAAGTTAACCTTATTCCGCCATGATAATTTTCTTTCTTACCTATATTTTACATTTGCGGTGTTTTATTGTTTTACCTTTCATTCTATATCTATGACGATAGTAGAGTTCCTGCCACAAACGATTTCTTTATTCAAGAATCATCCGTCTTGACGCAAGTTCCAGGAAACAATTTGCATGTTTTCTCATAATTTCCCTCTCTGACGCTCGAGTTCCGCTTCTGACGTCACAGCGCAATACGCAAGTGAACGCTGACGTAAGTGTCGCCAACTTGCGAAAGTCGCCATCGTTTGAGCAAATTTAGATATATCGCATCTCGCTTCACTAAATTTCATTTGGTACCCATGGTGCGAAGTGCGACGTCACGTCATGCGCAATGGCCGACTGCGCAGATTACGACGAGTGATATCGAGCAATGCCGAATCCGGCCGCGTAACGCCGAACGCCACCGAATCTATCCGAACAAAACGAATATAACATAGTGTAATGCCTGATAAGCCAGCGAAAGACTGTTGTGATAGTGCGCGCATTCATTTTTTGACAGCTCGCTGTGTACAACTCGTCACGGATACGATTCGCGGCGAGAAAAATATGATGTTGAGGCTCTGAGTCCGGGCTTTGGATAGCGGATCTGTCGGGAGCGACTGTGGGTTAGGTGTGAGTGAGTGGGTGCGCATCGGTACTCTCTTACGTGCGCTCTTCGTGTCCTGTTACACACATACACACGTACACATAGAGCGGGAGTATAGTATCCTTCTTATCCTTCGAGCGACACCGCCCGCCCGGCGCCAGGACAAAGGACGGTGACGTCGGTGCCATCGCAAGCAAAAACTGCATAAATACGACTCCAATAGCATCCCGTCTCCCGTTCCCGCTCTCTCTTTTTAACGCACACTTAATATAGCGCACTGTGCATCTCATACACGCTATATTGTACGTACGGTGTCACTCCTCTTCCTGTGCTTTGTGCACGGTCCCTCTCTTTCTCTCCTACAACTTTTGTATCGTCTTCTCGCTCCCGCTAAAGAGAATTTCATATCATTCCTAGTGAATTTCATATCGCCTTTTTTATACCTACCTACCTGCCTACTCATACGATAGATACGCGTGGCTCGCGTGCGTGCGTGCGTACTTGCTTGCACAGCGAACGCATTTTCTCTTTTCCTCCATCTTGCATCTCTTTCTCTCCTTTTCTCTCCTCCCTCTTTCCTCTCCGGTGTATTTCCTCGCGGTCGGGACATAGCACTCCGTTCTGCGTCTCGTACGGTGCGAAAACCAGCGTTATAGTGAGCGCCCTCTCTCGCTCCCTCCAGCGGCTCGTCGTCTCCCGTTTCCCGTCGACTCCGTCGTCCCGGAGGAAGAATGGAGGCGATAGCGAAGCACGACTTCACGGCGACCGCCGAGGATGAGCTCAGCTTTCGCAGAAGTCAGGTCCTGAAGGTTGGTAGAGAACTTAGGAAGCAACCTGGTTTTTTTTCCTCATTCGTCACCTGGTCATGATGGCTTGACCTGGCTTGGTGGTCGCTCGGTCGGCCAACGGCGAGGCGCGCCGCGTCGCGTCGCGACGGTCACGAGACCACCGACGATCCCGAAATTTCTACCATCCGTCTGTCTGCTTACAGCGACGACTCGTTCGTCGGCCGATGCACCCTGCGAGAAATTGATTGTTATTGTTGCATGTGTACAGCACGGCATGTGTATATACGAGATATATATGCGGTCGATTGGTTTTCGTTATACTAAAGAGCTATTGCGCCTGACGTAAACGCTCGCACGTTTTATTGCACGATAACGATTGTTATTGTTTGCAATAATAACAATAGCGACGTGTCTGTAAAGGAATGCTATTACTAGATCTATTCCTTTCACAGAGCTTTCTTGCCTCGTTTGTATTCAAAAGAACATCCGCATGCAGGCATGTATTTAAGGCTTTGATGAAATAGTTGAAAAATGTGAAAGGAAGAATAACAAACAAATAGATTCATTAGGTATTTTATGATATTTGTTACGAAATTGTTCAAATTTAATTTTTATTAAGTGTGAGATAAGAGCAGTTGTGCTTATTTTAGAAGAGATTTTTATATAGAAATTTTTGAATTTATTTATTGAAGTTTTTACAAAAAAAAAAAGATTAAAAATTGCAAAGCTTGCGATACAATTATAGATTGTAAAAGAATAATTATTAATAAAAACAAATTTCTAAAGTTTTTTTTATTCAAAATCTAAAGATTTAAAATTACAAATAATTTGTATTTTAATTTATCATGCACAGTAAATGTTTTCAGTGCAATAATAATAATATTGTAGTGTTCAATGAAGTAATATTGAAAATTTTACATCTTTAGTTGCATAGATACTTAAATTATACATTTAGAATCATATATAAATTAAATATATATTATATATCAAGAATCTATGAAAACTATAATCATTATAGCATAATTAAAAGAATAAATAACTATTAAAATAACATTATAAATATTTTGTAACTTACATAACAAATTCCTCAAATGCAACAGATATGACTAATTTTTTCTTTTTCTATTATACTTAGTTTCTATTTTTTGCCTCCGTTCTAAAATATTAATATAAAAGTATTAATGTACTGAGATGTATGATGTATATATTTGTAGATCTATGTATTACATTTTCTGTATGTAAAATATATAATCTTACTTTTTATGTAATACATTGCAGATTTTGAATATGGAAGATGACATGAATTGGTACAGAGCTGAATTGGATTCCAGAGAAGGACTTATACCCAGTAATTACATTGAGATGAAAAGTCATGAGTATGTATCATAAATAAATTATAATAATTAAAAAATATATATGTTACTATAATGTTTTTGAAATAGAAAAAAATCTAAATACTTACTTTTGCTAGTAAACCATATAAAATTTTATGTAAAATTGCTTTCTTTACTTTCTGAAGTCTTTTTCACAAAAATATATTTAGCGTGATTTTTACATAGAAAATTAATTTATTTTTTTACCTTTTTTATGCTTTTTATAGTTGGTACTACGGAAGGATAACCAGAGCAGACGCTGAAAGATTACTGATGAACAAACATGAAGGTGCCTTTCTGATCAGAATCAGTGAAAGCTCTCCTGGTGATTTCTCCTTATCAGTAAAGTAAGTATTTTTTGTTATATTGAAATTTTTTATGCTTAAAAGAGACAAGACATTTATCAATATTACATAGAATTTCCTGTATTAACATTATGAATTAATTGCACATAATATTAATATTACAAATTATTAAGGAAATATGAAATAAAATGGTCAAATTTTACCTACAGATGCTCCGATGGTGTGCAACATTTTAAAGTATTAAGAGACGCACAAGGAAAGTTCTTTTTGTGGGTCGTCAAGTTCAATAGCCTCAACGAACTTGTAGAATATCATCGCACAGCGTCTGTTTCTCGCTCGCAGGATGTTAAATTACGCGACATGATACCGGAGGAAGTAAGAACTAATGCAAACTATTTTTTCTTTAACTAAGCTATATCTACTTGCTCAAAAACCTGTCGAGAAAAATAATTATTTTTATATCATAATATAAAGTTAATTTGTTGTGTCTTTCAGTGCCTAGTGCAAGCGCTCTACGATTTCACACCACAGGAACCCGGCGAATTGGAGTTCCGACGAGGCGATGTAATTACTGTCACAGATCGCACAGATCAGCATTGGTGGCATGGAGAGATCGGCAATAGACGGGGACTTTTCCCGTCTACCTACGTTACGCCATACCACTCCTAGGTAAGGAATCAATTCATCTGGCAATTGTTCAGTATCTAACTGTCGTTTATTTTATATTTATGTATAATAAAATGGCTGTTTCATCAATATTAATTGATTTCATCAATTTCATCAACCCATTAATTATAATCAAGCTTTATAATCATCAAAACTTATTACGTGTGCGACAACTTTTGACGAAATATAAAGTTAAAAAGTTATTAAAAATGTAAAAAAAGAATATTGAGAGAGAGAGAGAGAGAATGCATTACTGTTGTGCAGTAAAAAAATATTTTGACTTAATTATTAACATGATTTTTCAGGCTTCACATGGCCGGGTGCGCAGAGGTCGTTGGGAACAGCGGCCACCTTATCCCACCACTCTCACTTATAGGATCCGATTCGCGGCGGATTTGATAAACAATATTTTACAAACCTCACCTATCGAATGGGCTGCCAGGGTGTACTGGTGGTCCCGCCGAAAAGTTCTCTGAAACACGATTAAAAGCGAATTAATTATATACTCCAATGCCAAAATCCTCCGATATCGAAGAAGGATAATCGCATTTTATTTAAATGAAGGACACAAAAAGAGAAACTACATCGAAAATTCGAGCTCGAGGATAAAACGACATCAAGTTTTTTAAAACGAATTAAGTATTTAAAAAAATGTCCGACGATATACAAAGGTTCCGAAGATGTCTAATGTTATCCGAGAGTCCAAGGATCTAAGAATGTGTTTACGAAATGTCTAGGGATCTAAGGATGCCTAAAAGATGCCTAAGGATCTTAGGATTCAAGCATTTATAGAATTCTAACAATCTATAATGATCCTTTATCTAAGAGTTGTCTAAGTATCTATAGATATCCAAGGATCTAAGGATTCCGAGAGAGGAGTCGCGTTCGAGGATAATCGAATATGTATATTTTTGTTTTCCTTTTTTTTTTGTAAACCTTTTTGACGACTCTACTCTTTCTTTACTTATTGCGTAAAGCATGGAAGTTTGTAGCATTATTGTGTAATTATTAATATTATTATTATTATCTTTTATGGTTATTATTATTATTATGACTATTAATGCGTTATGTTACATTTTATTGATAACAATATATTATATTAATTATATGGTCGCGTGTGCTCTTTTACTTGCGCCCAACTAATACTAACTCCTTCAGTTAGTAGTGTCGCGAGATAATGCGCTGTATCAGTAGCAATTTTATCTCGCATCACTTCTAAGGAGTGATCGGTCTGCTTGTTATATGCTGGTGAGTGTGCCATTCGGAAGACTTTTCCTATTGTCGTACGCTTTTAGTTTTATCAACCGACCGCAATAAACCTTGGAAGCGGAAATCCGCGTCTTACGATCGATATCTTTGTCGTTTCGCCGGCTTTAATAACAACGCTCGACGTTTACTCTTCACAATTAAGATCAAGACACTAGGATAAATATTAATTTCGGATCTAATAGAGATATTACGTAGTGCAATTTAAATTTGGGGAAAGACATTGTCAAAAATCGGCCTCGACTGAGCCTAAGCACATTTAAAGACTTAACGAACTAAGTATATGATGTAAGAAGTTTAAGTTTCCGACTGATCATTTTTTTATCCCGACAAACCGTTAACAAATTTTGTATTTAAATATGCCTTTAATTAAATTAATGTGCAAATCAAGAAAAATTGGACGAACTATAAAGCAAAATGGAAAAAAAATATTAATAAGAAAAACCTAGTGAGAGACGGTATATTATAATGCGTAATTGGAATGCATCTCATGACCAAATATAATTAGATTTGAAAAATATATGCTTAGTGGAATTGCTCGGTGAATTATTTAACATTCATTAATTAATCATTCATTAATGAATAAACCGATAAAATACTCCGAGAAAAAAATTCTGCTATTGACATACTTTTACTTTAGAGCACATTGTATAGCATGATACTTTTGGACCAAACAATGTATAATAATAATAATGATAATAATAACGAAATAAATGTTTCTGCAGCCAGGCGATCAATGTGCGATTCTTATGAGTCGCGATCTCTTTTGTATGATCGTTGTTTCCGTAATAAACTTAAGCTATATTTTAATATCGACTATAAGTGTAAGCTGAGGAGTTGCGCAAGCGAGATACGCATTTTACGCATATAATCGCCGTACAAGTGCATTAAAATACAAAAGTCATCGGTGAAAAATAAAAACAAGACATATTCATAAATGTGAAAATCATAACTACTCACTATTTCTGCAGATTGTACGATGTTTAATATACAATGCCAGATAGTTTCTTGCATAGCAATATTATATTATGATTATAGTGATTATTATAGTAGCATGATGGTACAACAACAGGTATGAGACAATGCGCTATTATACAATGCTGGTACAATAAATAGCAAATTCAAAATTTATAGTATTTTTTATTAAAAATTATTTTATTATTATGTTATATTATACCTTTCTTAACAAACGAGTCTGTAGGATATATATCTTCCAGCAGTCTCTGAAGGTCTGATGATTTTGACAACTTGTCCACGTTTCAGACCAAAGTATCGTGCCACCGGGTCATTAACTTGAATCCTCATTAGTTGATTTTCCTTCAATTTGTACCTTGTCAGTAGTTCTTCTTTTTCATCTGGAGTTAAAACAATATGCTCCGGTACTAGTTCATGTTCCGTTATGTTAATAAGCAATTCAGATTCTAAAAATTGCTCCAATATATATTTCGGAGCCATGTCGATTAGAGACTGCTTAGCTGAGGGTGTCATGCCTTGCTGAACAACAATGATTGCTCTGTAATAGATAATAGCATTGTTAATAATAAAATATTGATAACAAAATTGTGATCTTTCATACGTATTAAGAATAAGAGAAATTTTCATATATTTTTAACAATATTTAATAAGGTCGAAAAATATAGAAATTATTTAAGATTAATCAAAAATTATTATTCCAAAAATGATTACTTTCGACAAATATTATTCATATAAATTATAAAACAAGATAATATTAAAAGAGATATTAATATTATATCACCTGTGAATCTTCTCTTCCTGCATACGCTGACAGTAAGTCTTGATAGTTTTGATACCAATTTTTGGCTCATCGGGAAAAAAGACGAACAATTGATCGGTAGGATCGTCGTTGTGTGCTACTAAAACGATAAGATCACTTCTAGCCGGCCTCTTCTCGCTAGGTTTATCGCCAAATTGTTCTTTGAATTGTTCCAAGCTTTGATCCAATTCATCTTGCGTGACTAGATAACCTCTATCGTGGCATAATTGCATTACTGTCTTCCTGATGCGCCACAATTTGTAGGTCTCATCTTCATCATCCATAATTGATGTCAAAAATCAGAATTTTCAAATTGCCAGCGTATATCTTAGATTGCTAATAAGCTCAGCAAAGTTTATCACTTCACGTGCGAACACATTACAAACACCGCGAATATCGATATAAAATAATCATTGTGAAAAGAAATATTAGATGGCGAACTCGAAAGTTCATATCAAAGAGAAAAGGTATATTCACACGAATTTGTGACTATATAATGCACAAAGAAACTAACCATTATGGCATTATTCAAGTTCATATGAATATACCCTAATGATTAAATTAAAGAAAAAGTACACAAAATTAGAATTAAAGATCGGTCAATGTATTTAAATTCGCCGACATTGGCACAATACTGCAACTACGTGATTGAATTTAATCAACAGAAAAGTTTAGCTTGTTTTGATTACATTTTTCATGGTGCGACAAAAAGGTTACTTAGCGTTTACCTTTGCGAATCCGCCGTGAAGGCTATGAAGCCATCCAGTTCGGAGTGAACGGTTGCCTAGGTACCGCAAGTGAACGAGTGTATTTGACGTAAACAAACCTGGATTGTCAGCGTCTGGAGCTGCGCATCTCGAACATTTAATTGCCTGACAGTCAATTCACGCAAGATGACATCGTTCGATTTACGGCAGCAGAAGCTGGAACAGCAGGTACGATTTCAGCGTAGCAAATAAATCATGATCATTGATACGTAAATTTCGTCTCAGTGCATGTAACCTTGCTTCTCGTACAGTATAGCGACCTAATTTTTAAATTAAAAAAAATGTCACATCCTGAAAAGAATCCACTTACTGTTACTCTACAAGTAATTGGCCACCAATGACGTATCATTAAATATGCAAGCAACTGAAAGCATTGTAGTATAAGCTGCGCTTTCGATTATTGCTCGATGAATAATTAATGAGCGCTTGGACGTAATAATAGCTAATAATAGGTGACTTTATTGTCGTTCGAATACTTTTCTTTTTGTAGAATCTGTTATTAACAGACAATCTGCTGGTTATATTGTGTATTATTTTTCATGAAGTTTATTTATATTATATTGGAAATCAATAAAGAAGACTTTTCATTTAAAATTGATTGAAATTAATGTTATTTGATGGCAAAGGAATTATTTAATAGGATTTAAATAAAATTTGTATGAAAGTCATCAAACTGAATTATTTTCTCCGTTGCTTTTAATTGAGTTATGCTTTATGCTGTATTACAAATTATTTCTGTTATTTAGAGGCAACTAATTGCACAGAAGATGAAACAGAAGAGACAAACCGGTGCTAGTGGAATGGTGCAGGCATCTAATGTATCCAGTGCACAGCTGACAAGTCATTCTAATAAATGGATGAATCCAAACAAGGAGCTTCATGGTAACACAAAAATAAAATAATTCTATAATTATTAATGTAAAACCATTAAAACTAGTGCATTGATCGTAAATGTAGTTTATATACTACAAACGTACTTAGCAAAGATAAAATATTTTTTTAGCATATGATGGTCCATTGCAGTACATGTCTCAAGCAAGTATAGATATAGGACCTTATGCGGAAAGAAAAAACAGTGACGGTACAATTAATGGTAAATTTATTGCTAAAAAAATAGCGATGTTTCCTACCATTTATCAATGCAATATTTTATCATTAGTATAAAAATAACTCACAAAAATATTTTCCTCTATAATTCTACTCGTTCAAAATTAAACTAATTTCTAAGCACCAATGTATTTTTTTAGTAGCAGTCGTCAATGAAAGAAGTTTGTACGAAGGTTCGCAAAGTGTTGATTGCGCCGATGAGGAATCATCACCTGTAGATTTTCATTCGCCCACAGAAACTTTACCATGTTCCTCGCCGCTTCGAGTGGCACCGTCAGAAGGAGCTAACACGCTCATCAGTAGAGAGAATAACTCTTCCGTACGTAATATTATAATTTCCTTTACACATTTAAAAATATTGTATTTGTAATATACAAGTACTCGACATGAAAGCTATACCAAAATAATTAGTTTACGTTTCAACTTTGCAGAGTCCGGAATTGGAAGGAAATGTAGAAGGCAACATTGAACAATTCGTATTACAACCTGCGAACAAGAAAATGCATTACAAATGTCGAATAACGCGCGACAGAAAGGGAATGGACCGTGGTCTTTATCCGACTTACTTCTTGCATCTAGAGCGTGATTACGGGAAAAGGGTACGTTTACATTTATTCATTTTGGCAATTAGCCTTCTATATACTTGTTATATTTATAGATTTTCCTACTGGCCGGTCGAAAAAGGAAAAAAAGTACAACGAGCAATTATTTGATCTCGACCGATCCTACGGATCTTTCGAGAGGGGGGGAGTCTTTCGTCGGTAAACTGCGGTCGAATCTTCTGGGAACGCAATTTTCGGTCTACGACAATGGATACTCGTTGATGAAGGATGATAAACGCGACGAGCGCTATAATCCGCGACAAGAACTGGCCGCGGTGGTGTACGACACAAATGTTTTAGGTTTTAAGGGACCGCGTAAAATGACAGTCATTATACCAGGTATGACTCCTGATCAGAAACGAGTGGAGATATGCCCGCGGGATGAATCGGAAACCTTGCTTGGTACGTATACTTTAAATGTAAAAGTAATACACAAAACAAATGAAATTAGTAGATAAATATATTTTAGAATGTTAAAGTGCAAAAAATTTTTGCAAAACAAAATATGTGCTTTTTACTTATTGACTTAAAATTATATAATCACACAAATTACTAATAAAAATTGTTTAACTACGGAATACTATAATTAAAATGATTATTAAAATTATATTAAATTATGTTAAAATTATACGAGTAGCAATCCAGTAGCAAAATGATGAGATATTTATAATAAATATACATAACTTTTTATATAATTTTTCAGAACGCTGGAAATCGAAACATATGGACAGCTTAATAGAGTTACATAATAAGACTCCAGTATGGAACGATGATACACAGTCCTATGTGCTTAACTTCCATGGACGAGTAACTCAGGCATCTGTAAAAAATTTCCAAGTCGTCCATGACACCGATGGTAAGGCGAGATTTAATTTCTTATATAAAAATATATTTATATGACATAATTTCTAAAGAAATTGTGTGAATTTGAAATTGTATATAAATTAATAGTGTGGCTAAAATATATATTAATGAGATTTAAATTAATTTCAGTGGATTATGTTGTAATGCAGTTCGGACGTGTCGCGGAGGATGTGTTTACGATGGATTACAGATTTCCCCTTTGTACAGTCCAGGCGTTCGCCATTGCTTTAAGTAGTTTCGATAGTAAATTAGCATGCGAATAACAACGCGGCCGAACGTCACCGATCGAACACGGACTATCTCAGTTAAGTATATACTTGCCTACAAGTTATTATGTCATTCTAAATCGTTGGCTCTTTAACAATCAATAAGATCTGGTACCAGTCTCGATATGGTACTCGGCGTATCGAATTGTTTTATAATAACTCGATCACGATAAAACGTAACGAGAATTACTATAAATGTGTGTTCACTTTTCGTATTTCATAATAAATCTATTTCTATATTAAAGATATGCGAGATGACGACTTTTCAGCATATAAAAATGTTGAATTTACATAAGAATCTTGATAATGCTGGCATTATACTCAAAGTATCGCACGTTATATTTTGGCCAATTTCATTATTTGAAATTAATTATCGACATGAAGCAATCGTATTGCTCGTTCGTCAAAATGATATAAATTCCTTGGCCAGTAATTCGGAATATACGCAATATACATTTGAACACATTTGAAATATTTTCATAAATATAATTCATAAACACAGGGTGTTTATAAATGATGAACCATAAGTATATGATTTTACAGTGCCTTTGTACATGATATTTATTGTGCATTAAAAAAATTATATTTGTCAGTCTTTTTTTGTCGACTACAAATAGCAAAAACAGAGCACAAGTTTTGTGGAAAAAATAATCTTGTCGTTAAAAATTAATAAGAAAAATATTTAAATATTTTATTTAATAATCCATGCATTTTTACATACTCTCTTTCATAATTTTAATTTTTTATTTATATAATATTTAATAATAATCTTCTAATTATCTAATCCGAATAAGATCATGTATATAATTACATACCTTTTCGTTTTTTTGCCACGTGGAGATTCACAATTTTCATTATTACTATAAAATTTTGAAAATGTCATAAATATACGAAGCACAAAGCACACTATTAATCATAAATATATTGAGCACATCTTCACACTCGAATTTTCTCTGATAACAAATCCATTCAGTATTATAAAAGTATTGACTTTTCTATTAATACTAAAGATACCGAAAATCATATCGAATATTCATATATTAATTATTTATTATTTTGCATTATGCACAAGTAACAATCGACGATTACTTTTAAACCAAATTACAAGCGCAACGTAACTTGAAAAGCAATTTAAGATGCGCCTACGGTTAGTTACATGTTCGCGTTATTTCTATGTGTTGTGTATACTGTATTTAGGCGGAAGTTTATAAGAAAACGACCAAAGTATTTTTACCGAATTTTTCACACGATCTTTTGTAAGCACACGACAGTTATTTAAGTGTATTGTCGGACGATTAAACAATATTCGAGAACAGAGCCGTTGTTCAATCGTCCGATTATCACGGTAGCTTTTAACGCAGCAATATTTGGCGGTTAATAGAATTTATATTTACTGCAATAATATCTTAAATAAGTACCTGTATTATATAGCGGATATTAATTGTCCTAATTTATATACCGTAATCATTCTGTTTGTTATACATTATTTATATTAAGAACTTTTTCATATTCTCGTAATTATTGTAAGTGTACTTGTAATTTTCGTACTCTATTAATTCCACTTATTCATGTGCAGTTATTAGATTCATGCGCATTTATTAGATTCCGCGTATACTGTGTTTTATTATCATTATAAAAATGTTTGTATTTATATCTCTATTTGTGAAATTAATATTTACCGAATATATTTGTCTCGGAGGTTTGAAAGGCAGTTCACACATTCGATGTAATAATCATCTATTTATTTGTCTAACCGAGGAGTATATGTATCTAGTCTTTTATTGTACCGATAATATATTTACGATATTTTGGTACATTGTGTAGCGTAATAAATTATCATTTTATTGTACACTTCTAAAGCGATGCATTAATTTATAATTTGAAGTGAAATAAACGAAATTATCATTTGGATTGTACTTGTCGCATTGTTTATTAAATATTGAAAAATGTTTTCATCTACGAGATGTGCGAAGAAAAGAAATTAAAACTTCGGCTTTGTAAAAACGAAGTGCATCGCGTCTAAATTTTAATGGAATAGAGAACAGGCGAAGAGATGTCATAACATATATTATTTATTATTACAAGATTTATAAAAAAAAGGATAACATCAAATGTTCCCAGCATTATTTGGGCAATAAAATTTGGTAGATTAGTGAGCGCATTGTCTTAGTTTTTGTATTTTTTTATGTATAAAAAACCGCTGTTTGTATCGCGATTAATACAATAAAGGCACTTAAGGTCTAGCACTTATTGATATAATTGACATAAATAAAGATTACAATACGACAATTACTTTTTTCTTTTATTATTTACAAAAGGCGTATAGGATATTACTTCAATCCTGGTTCGAGATTAAAAATTAACTTCTGTTAATGTTACGTTTCCTGTAGAATAAATATTAACAATGTAATGATTCAGCTAAATAGTCCTGTAAATTAATTTTAAAATATTATTTGTTTTATAGAAAATTGCGATAACTCTCATAATAAAAATGTTAACTATACGAATATATAAATAATATTTTTATTATGAGAAGTGTATCGTAACATTCGATGAATTACACGATTTGCACAACGGATAAATAATAATATCCCTACATATTTACTTTTCCCTATTGTTTACTACGTAAACCAACAAACTTTTTATTTAAATTGGACATTTTAAAAGAATGTTCAATTGCGAGATTACCTGCAACAATAAAATATATTAAATATATTACTTATATAGACATATAAGTAACATATTTATTATTATAACATTCAATATTCACAGCATTATTTGGATAAAAAATGTTTGGTAGATTAGAAAGCGCAATTTTTAGTTCTTCTACTTTTTTATGTATTAAAAAAAGTGATTTGTATCTCGATTGATATAATAAAGGCACTTAAAAGTCTAGCACTTATTGACATAAATAAAAATTACAATACGGCGATAATTTTTTTGATTTATTATTTACAAAAAGGCGTACACGCGATATTATTTCAATTCTGATTCGCGATTAAAACTTGCGTTATTGTTACATTTCTTATCAAATATCAAGAATGTAAGAATTCTCTGTGAAATATTTGTGCAATTTAATTCTAAAATATTAATTCTTATAAAATTACAATATACTTCTCATAATAAAAATGTTGCTTGTATGTGATATAAATAACGTTTTTATTATTAGAAGTTTATCATAATATTCGATTGTTGACGACAAATAAACTAATAACAATATTCATACACTTTTGATTTTCTTCGTTATTTACCAACAAAGTACGCAAATTCTCTAATTCAACGTAAATAATGTAAAGAAATTTGTCAATTACAATTATTATTTGATGCAGTACAAAATGTTAAACGTGTTACTTATATGCAGAATTGAAATAATTTCACCCTTTAATATACGACTTCTAAAAATAATAAACTAAAAAATAATCGTATCATAATTTTTATTTATATCAATAAATAGTAGAGCTCTTTATTGTCTTAACAAAGATGGAAGCGAAGATCCTTTATGTGGAAAAATAAAAATATGCATTCACTAATCCATCGAATTTTAATGCCCAAATAATGCTGGGAATATTTAATATTTCTTTATATAAATTTTGTAACAGAAAATATATGATTAAATATGTGTTCATAAACGTAACATATTTAATATTTTTTACTGTGGCAGGTAATATAATCGTAATTGACAATTCCTTTAGGATATCAAAATAAATTAGAATTAAAATTTAGAAGTTTGCAAGTTTTAATAAGCAAAAAAAGAAAACATAAAACAAAAGCATATGAACATTGCTGTTTGCTCATTTGTGCAATCTGCAATCGTTATGCTGCATTTTCGTTTTTAATAATTATCAATGTATAAAAACTTCCTACAAAATGTATATGTATTTACATACAATTACGACAACATGTGAAATCACAAAATATTATTATGGTTTCCATTATTTTTTCTGTTCAAATATCGAACTTGTGTTCAGCGTATGTTTGATTTTAATTCGAACGCTAAACAGATGATATATGAACGCATAAATCGAACACTTTTCTTATATCACTAGGTTAATTCTCTACAATTTCTTTGTATGATGTAAACGCGACGATATGTCTCAGGCAATTTGGTAAAACGTTAGAGGCTAATTTATCAAAAAGAAAGTGCTCACATTGTCGAACAGGACGGAGATGGGAGTTAGAGATTGAATTTTGTTTGAAAACGTTCATTACACTCGCAGTCTTTTCTTTTTCGTACGCTTCGTATTTTGCTATTTTTTTTTTAACTTATGGCCAATTTGTTATTTATCGTTTAACAGGAAACATATAAATTCGAACATTATATATTACCTTTATATACATGAATTTTTCTGTTTATTGCTGTTGCTTGCATTTACTATCACGTGGAAAATAATTTTCTCTTTCGGGTTTTCGGTATAAAATACCGAAAAATTTCGATTATTACATTGCGTAGAAATTACAAGCAACACCAATACGATCGATAGCTTGGAAGCTTGGTTTTAGTTACGATAAAATTTATAATTTAAATTGTTCTGCTCGCGAAATAAATGAAGATTTTTTAATATTGCAATTAGGTGCTTTCCAGCTAGTGACACAAGAGTACACAAAATATTCTCTCTTTGCTCATTGGATATTGAACAAAGAATGATACTTGTGTCGACTTGTGCAACTAGCTGGAAAGAACGCAATAAACAAACTTTCAAAGTATTTTACAAAAATCACGTAATAATTTAAGACAAAAGAATACATATATATATTAGCAATGCGTATCAGCTACAAGATTATGCTTAAAAAAAAATGCACATACGCATCAAACAGGAGCAATAATATGAGACGCGATATTACGTTACTAATTTTACAAATGGAATACAAATAAGCAACATGAAAATATTATAAATAATTAAAATACACTCAAATACATAACCAGTTCTAGCATGGCGATTAGAGACACGGTGATACGTTACGTTCTATTATATGATAATATCGTAATAATAATGCCAGAAGCAAGCTGATTGATGAGCAGAAATCCGGAAATCCGGAAACTTGTAGAATCAAGTGCATAAAATTGTGAATAAATGAATAAATCTTGATTGCGACAGCTTACAAATTGAAATGCCAGGAGTTAACTAATGTGATAAGTGAATTTTTTAAATTTTGCCTAAGTGAGTGCGAAAATTACTCAAGATTGAGTAAGCTACAGTCACGTAGGCAAGTTTACAAGCAATTATTCGTTTTGGAGGCTCAGAGAAATAACTTATCACATCAGTTAGCTTGCTTGACGCATTTCAACTGGTTAGCTGTTTCAATCAAGTTTTATTCTCAATTTGATGCACTTGATTCTATAAATCGATATAGCATTATAAATAATAATTGCTTTTTATTATCTGGACTTGGAAGCTCAATAATACTGAATTCTTATCAAGAAGCTAATTCTTATCAGCTTCAAGGAACTTCATTCTTATTATATAATGGAATTAAAAATATCCTCCCATTTTTCTAATCGCCATGGTAGAGAGTATTAATTAAATATTTAAATTAAACATTCGTAAAAGTTTCTCTATTTTTACATGTTTTTACCATTCGAAATTTCACGTGGGTCTCTTTTTTAGATCGGCTTCAGTAGTTTTCGCACTCGGCCGGGCAAATCTGAGAGCCGGTATGCGTGACGCAGGTCTAGGAATTCCGCTCATCACAGTAGCTGGCTTACTTCCGGCATTCCAGTTAGTTGGCTGTTTCAATCGAGTCTTATTCTCATTTTTAGGCATTATTTGATTGGGACTCTGCAAGTCAAGATGCACGTTTATCATTATACAATCGTTATAATTTATTTTAGTTTCTAAAATCTCAGATTTTCCAACCGATTATGATCAAAGGAAATCAAATATACTTTGCTATTTAACGTTTGTTAAAAAAGTCTGCAAAAGTTTGACTATTAATTTTGACTTTATAGCATTACATAATCTTACACGAAGTATGCATACCTCTGTCTTTTCAACCTCACTCTTGCTCTTTGCTATGTTAGCTTCAGGATTGCCTTAAAATACATATAAAACATTTTATTTATTTACTTAACTATTTCATTTAAATTAAATTATACGACTTACTAAATATTATTTGAATTCTATATAAAAAAGAAAAAAATAATTACCGTCATTGTTTAACGCATGACTAGACTCAGTAAAACTCTCTAACGGAGAGCTACATTTCATACTTGTATCAGTATTTAAAAAATGTCTGTCAGTCTCTCCGTGTCCTACACCATTTTTCAAAATCGGGGAGGGCAGATCCGTTTTTTCCTCAATCCAAGTGTTTTCTAGAACCCGTCTGCTCAGTTTCGGCATCACATCCTGTTTCAAACCTGAAAATATCAATTAAAAATTGATGAGAACCCAAATAAAAACATGTTTAATTGTAAAGATTTTTAGATTTCTGAAGATTCTTTGGATCTCTCAAATCTAAATAGCAACTCAACCCTTACTCTCTTCCTGCATTCGTACTAGTTGATGCAGTTGATTGATATCCATCGTGTGTTTGCAGGAATTATGACTGCTGCTATCCGAGCACGTGCTGAGCCTGTCGTCCAGGTCGGGAGCGCTGTGAGCACTCTGAGTGCTCTCTATGCTCTCCGTCGAGCCAGCGGCCATGCCCTTCATCGGAAACTGGCTGTTGGCATCCGCGTCGACGAGTCGCTGCTCGGAACCGCTCCTCAGCTTGCCGTACGGATGCAGCTTACTCGGCGACTTCTCCGCGATGTTCCCCGCGATATTAGGCTGCGAACCCTTGATGTATCCGACACTGGATAAGCGGCTGACGGACACGCCGCCGACGGTCTTCAGCGAGCTCGACACGAGATTCGGATTGGACTTCTGCAGGAACTGAGGCAACTTCGACAACGTCTTGGGTAGGTTTCTCTTTTGCGCGTTCGGCGGAAGAGGCTTGCGGAACATGCTGTCCAGGCTCGGACGCATCTCGGTGTTTTCATTGGAGGCCATTAAATCAGTCTTTTTGACGAGATTGTTGCTCTTCTTCGTGAAAGTATAAAATTTACGTTGGTCCACTGGCAACTCCTTTTGAGCAGTCATCGCCGCATCCCTCTGATTCCTGTACTGATTTGTCGCCGTTATCAGAGTTGACTTTCTGTACGTGTGGTATCTGTTCGACGGAGAGATGTCAGTCTCATTCTCATTACAAGCTATGTGAATATTCTCTTTGGTGTCCCTTAAGCCGGGATGATCACTAGGAATATTAGTGTACGTGGAGTCCAGCCTGCGCTCACCACTTCGTTGAATTTCTGCCAGCAGCTCTCGTCTCAACGATGTGGGAGCTTTCAGCGTGGAATACAGAGTTTGCCGCGGCTGTTCCGAATGCTTCATGGCGAGTTTTGACGTAGGATTCAGCATGTTTGGATTCATCGGTGTAGATTGATTACAGACAGGTACTTTGAAAGATATATTCAAGACGTTCTCACCAGCGCGTGGCGCAAGCTGCGCCGCGGACACCGCGGTATTGTCCGACAGAATGTCACACGTCATATTCAGATCCGCCGTGTTCGCTCGCATTGTGGGCTTGTACGTGTCACTCTCAATCGATACGGTTAAATTCTGTCCTTCGGCGTCCTTCGGCGAGGATAAATACGTGACATCTAACGGCTTAACGTCGTTGTTGGCCTCATTTTGCAGTTGCGCAAAGTTTACGTCAACGTTAGGCTCGGTTAGAAAAGTGGAAGACAAAGATGTTTCTTCTTTGTTGAGATTCGACCACAGTGCTGACGCTTCGACAGGAGCTTCAGCATTATACGTTTCGTTCAAATCAGGTTGAACAAGCTCTTTGCAAACGGTATTACTTGAAGAATTTGTGCAGTACGCGGTGTCCAGCGTAATTCTATTGTTGGCGCTTTGCATCACGAACGTTTCATTGCCGCTATTCGAGTTTGACTTCTCTTCTACATCGCTGCTGCGTTTAGCTGTATGCGCGTTTGTCATTTGCATTGTGTCGTTTTTCATAAACGTGGAATCGTTCATAAACGAAGTAACAGATGTATACATAAGAGAAGGCTGCGACACATTCATCAGTAGATCGTTAAATTCGGGTTCGCCTAAATTTATGAACGAATCAATTCCTTTGGACTGAGACAAATTCAGAAAAGCTTCCATGCTTTCCTGTCCTGATATTACTAAAGTTTCACCGGGAAAATTGTTCGTAGCCGTCATGATGGATGGCTTCAGCATTGGTGGCACAGATTCCTTGCCTTCGATTGTGACAGGCAAATGTTTTCCTGCCTAATTAAAAATAAATAAAATTGAATATTAATTTATAAGGTATTGAGATATTAACCATAAATTTTATACTTTACACATACTAATATAAAATAGAAAATGCTATTATGCGTATTCCATAATTAAATTATTTACTTCATAAGATTTATTATCTTAATTTTAATTTTTGTAAATATCTCTGCTTAGAAATGTATAGATTACAAAACTGAGGTTCCACTTACATCTTTTATTTGCGTAACATCTGTATTTTGATTCCATACATTCGACGAAGGGGAAGGTGGTAATCCTTCAAAAATCGATTCAAAACTTAGTCGAGCAGAACGTTTTTTAGATCTTGTAAATGTCCTTGTATTGATGCACTTCTTGTTAACTAAAAAAACCAAATTAGAAGCAATGATAAATAGTGCTAAAATTATAAATTGAGCTAAAAATATTTAGCAAACAGCTTATTGTTAATGCAATATTATTTTGCTTTATTAGCTTACTATTATTAGCTCTTGTACCTCGAGTATCCAATTCCGGTTCTGTTTTTAACCAGGCATATAGATCATGGATTGCAGATTCTGTTGAGCATTGTGAAGGTATGTACAACCTAAAAAAGGAATAAATAAATAAATTTAGTCATGAGAATGTTAACTTATACACACATAAATATATGTGTGTGTTTATGTATTTCCAAATAAATAATAAAACTGTACTAATATATTTTGAGTAAAAACAAAAAAAATGTTACTCAGATCCAGAAACTGTTTTATTAAAAATTTATAACAAAAAAAAAGGAAGATAAGTTCACAGAACATAAAATAAACCTACAGATATTTATCTTATCTACTTAATGGAAGTGTTTACTATATTAATACTGATCAACGATTTGATTTCAAATACATAAACAGAGCAAAAAAAGCAGATGAGATAAATGTTGTGATTGATAAATTTATCTTATGTTCTTCAAATTATTTTCTTTCTTTCTTTTGTTATAACTTTTTAATAGAGTATTTCTGAATTTATTGGTAAGCAAATATATTGGTACAATTAATCATTTAATTTATATAAATAACCTCTGTGTAAATGTCTATTTGTGTGTGTTAATTGCAATAAAAGTATATTATCTTTAAATTATCTTACATTTTTATACTATATAAACTAATATATTTATATATATATGAATCAACATAAATAGCTTTTAAATAAGTATAATGAAAATTGTGTTAAGAAACGTAATAATATATATTAAATCACATAAAGAAAAGCAAAGAAAATCTTTCAATCAAATAATTTCTTTCCTCAATAGAGAATGTCACCGAGAGAATATTTCATTACAAATATAAAGTACTATTGATATTCTATCCAAATATGTATTTCGACAAGTAGAAGTAAAATTGAGTAGAAATAAAGCCGAAAGAAAGGAATCATAAATATCTTGTAACAAAGTGTGAGATAATTAGAAGTCAACGAGTAAGTACCCACCAATTATCATTGTCCTCGAATTGCAGTTCCGACAAATCGACACGCTCGATCTCATCAACGAGATAGCCATCGTTAGTATATTCTGCACGCGCGACAATTCCGTCAGAATCCGTGATGTCTGCTGACATTTCGCAGCTAAATATATTGTTAAGTCGAATATATACGCAGACACATATTTCGCTGTTCCGGGTGTTCGCCCCGAGAAACACTCGCGTACGCACGAAAAAGCTCGAAATAAGGAAGAGGTTTTTTTTTATCCGTGACGAGAAGCAACGACCACGGCGACGGTGATGACTCGCTGTAATCGCTGCAACTGACGGAAAGAAAAAAAAAAAGTTATTAAAATTACTCGTCGAATCTCCTCGCAAACATAACCATAACGCGAACGCGAAGGCGGAAATTGCGGAAACTTCGTTATTTTCGCAACTGCCGCTAACGTCACGGCGCAAGAAAACTTGTATTTGATCTAGAGACCCTAGAAATAAGGTCTCTAGATTTGATCTGATTTGATTGGACTTGATCCAGTATGTAAGTACTGAAACGCGTTTTCATGAACCGCGATTTTTTTCCCGAATATCTATATTAAGCCAGCACATCATGTGCTAAAAACGTCCTAAAA